AGAACCCGTTTCAGAAAGAAAGCCTGAGCATGCTTTCTTCGGTACAAACAGTCATTTGGACAATTGTTTCAAAGTTGATACTGCTAATAATTTGATGCTGGTTTGGTAATTACTTTATATGTTCCTTATTTGGCAAACCAATGCCAAAGTATAACTTTGTAAGATGCTCGACATTCCTCATATTAGGGAAGACAGTGCTTCTTGTCACAAAATACAACTTTATTTTCATAATATTATGACTTTATTCTCATAATATTTTGAATTTATGCAGTACTGAGATCTAACAAGACAAGTAGAGATACAAGTCCATTATCTGAGGCCATGAGAATATCATTAGTGACTTTCACCAGAGCTGTTTCAGTGCTATGATGAGCTCTAAAGCCAGACTGAAACCCTTCAATAAGTTCATCATTGTGTGAGTGGTCACATACTTGTTTGGCAACTACTTTCTCAACATTTTTAGATAAGAAGGGAAGATTGAATATAGGTCTATAATTGACCAAGTCATCCGGGTCAAGAGATACATTTTTGAGTAAAGGTTTAATTACAGCTATCTTAAAAGCCTTTGGTACATATCCCTGTAACAGGGATTGGTTAATCACATCTAAAATGGAGATGGAAATCAGAGGGAATCCTCCCTAAATTACCTGGTTTGAACTGGATCCAACATACATGTTCATGGCTTAGATGAAGACAATAGTTTTGCTAACTCTGAGAGTTCAGGTGGAACAGTCTAAACCCAGTTCAGATTTTATGCTTCCCTCAGATGTTACCTCATCCTCCAGAGATAAACCAATTGAAGTTAGAGGGGTGCTAATGATCTTACTTTTAATAGAATCCCATAAAATCATCAATGCTTAGAGCAGGTGGGATGGACGTTTTAACAGAGCTATGGCTCTGGGTGAGTTTGGCAAGTGGTTTAAAAAGAAATCTAGGTTTATTCTTATTCCCCTTTATCAGGAGAAATATGTTGCTTTTGTTTTATGAAGGGTCCTGTTATACAGCAGTAAACTGTTTTTCCAGGCAAGGTAGGATTACCGTAGGCATTTAGAGCACCATTTTCTCTCCAGTTTCCTAGCATTTTGCTACAAAGTGTGCAGCTCTCCATTAAATCATGGAGCCAGCTTTCTATTTTTAAAGTGCCCCTTTTTCAAAGAGGCTACATTGTCTAAAGTGGTACACAGAGAACTAGCAACCCTGTCAATGTAATCATCCATTTATGAAGGGGAATAATTGAATGTTTGCCCTCTGCAATATTATTCAGTGATATAGAGGAGATGGAAAGTGGAACAGATTGTTTAAAATGTATAACTGCATGATCTGATAATGATCTACTCAAGTGAAATCTTCTTTTGGGGGAGGAGAACTCTATTACAGTAATCCTAAAGGTTATTAAGAAGTGGTCAGAGAGGACAGGGTCGTGAGGAAATACTGTTATTTCTTCACATTCAATGTCATGTGTCAGCACAAGGTCCAAAGTATGAAGATGATAATGTGTGGGGCTATTCACATTTTGAACACTATGATGACCCCGTTAGTATTTAACACCACATCAGAAAACTCATCTAAAATTTCAGAGTAAGGAACTGGTGGATGATACAACTAAAAAAAAAAGAACAGGTTTTGTTGCTTTGCAAATTTGGTGAGGGTAACTAAGGGTTAAATGTTTAAATGAGTTGGAATTATTAACAGCCTTTGGAGTAATCAGTAAGTCAGATTGAAAGAGTGTTGCTACTAGGGTGAACATGTTTTGATTATAAAAAGGAGGACATTTTGCCCAGGCTAGATACAGATTTGACAGGCTGCTCAGAGGAAATGAACATGCTTTAGTGAAAATACTGGATTATGATAGGGTATAGTTTTACTGCTCCGAGGTTAATCCCATCTGTTGAAACCTCACAATACTTGATTTATTTGAGTGCTTCATGAGTTACTTTAACAGAATGGGACTCTACAATACCACTGACAATGCTCTCGGTGTTGGTGCAAGCACTACTATTTTGTTTATTTAAGCGTTACAGTCTGATTCTTTTTTTTAGCAAGGTGCTCCTGCAATCCATGGGCCTGTAGCTGTTGTGGTGTTTCACAGTATGAAATGCTATTGCACCTTCAGCTGTATTTGCAGCATCCTCTGTTTTCCCAGATCTAAGTCAATTTTGCAAAAGAGGGCTCTCCTCCCACGGCTTTTTTATGATTTTCATTGTCCATGTGAGCTTTGAGATCTGCAGCATCTTTTTTGTCGTGACCGGGACAGTATGTGCAACATTTTTTTTGCAGTTCTTCTGTCAAGCTGCACTTTCATTTCAGCATTTTGTGTCCCATGCTGGTTGCTCTGCTCCAGGGGCGTTGCTAGGCACAAAGCTTTACTGGGGCACTGGCCCCCTACTGCATATGCCCCTCCTTCCATACATAAATACAGACAAGCACACTGCCCCACCCTGATACATTCCTACCAAAATTACCAGTTGAGATATTAATGAGTATAAGAGCATATTTGTTTTAACAAACATGAACATTTTCAACATTGCAGCTATAAAAAATAAGACATCACCAACTTTGACAAATAAAAAGTTTCCTTATACACATTCTGAAGTAATCATTAATTCCTAGGTTTCAGAGTTTTAGTTCAGGGGAAAGATTAACTCAATCCGAACTAAGTTTTTCTTTTATTTTTTGAGCATTAAAGTGTACCTCCTATTTATCATTTTTGCAAAGTGGTCAATCACTTGTGACTCAGCTTAGAAAGTTCTTCCTTTTCAACTGATAAAATAGCAAGATGATGGAGCCTGTCTTGTCCCATTGTGCACCTCAGCCAAGTGTGGATCCTTCTCAACACACTGAATGAACTTTCACAACTCCAGCTGTTAATTGTGATTGTGAGGGAGATCTGGATGACCTGCGCTAGTGTGGGGAACATGGTGTTATCAAGCAAGTTGAAAACACACTGCATATCCTTGATGACAAGGCTTTCTTTTCAACCAGGAAAAGCTCAAACCATTTTGAATTAAATTAGTTTTTTTTACTCCAAATTTGTGCTGGGGATAGTGGGACAACTTCACTTGTTTAGGACCATCATGCTTTCCCCCTAAGTCACTAATGTCCCCTTCTTGTTTGTGGACGCTGGTTGTTGCTCCCTCATCACCTTCATGGTCCTGTCTCTCCTGTCCTTCAACTGTCTCTTGCCTGTCAGTCTCGCCTCCTCCTCCCTTTCCTACTCCAGCACCTTCATTCTCATTCTCTAGAGCAAACATTAAAAAACGTAAATTTATAATTATGTAAATATCTATCATATTGCTTATAACGTTGCTAATGTAACTAGTTAGCTTAAATCACTAATTCATTACGGGACCTTACCTCCCTCTCTCATCTTGTTTTACTGCTTCCCTGTCTCTGCTTCGTGTGAGGAATTTCCTGATATCCATCTACAAACCAATGCAGTCATTTTCAGTTAGTAGCCTATAAATCATGTGGTTTCACTGGGAAAATAATAAAATTGACAGGTAAGAAACGTTATCAGAACTAAAAATGCGTCGCGGCCGCACAGTGTCCCATCCAAAACAGTTGAGAGCTGCGTGTTAGTTTACCTGCAGTTCATGCAGTGACATGCGCTGACGTGGGGGCGCTATTACATCCTCAATTTGGAGTTACCAACACACTTACTGCGCATTTGAGTAGAAATATACGTCTCCTCCCGTTGGAATTATCTAAATTGATGCATTCAAAAAATGTATCACTGTTGCAAATATTCATGAGATTTATACTGGGGCACAGCTCATTTATACTGGGGCACGTGCCCCAGTAAATGGGGTCTGGCGACGCCGATGCTCTGCTCCCTGTCTGTGTGTGGGTGTCTTGGTAGACCCTCCCACAAGGGAGTCCTTTGAGGATTTAGTCAGGCAACAAAGTATCGTAGTATTCTGTGCAAAGCAGAAGGCAATTTAATCATACAAATATGGTCCCATTAAAAACAGTGAAAATCAGACAATTTTATGAATTCATAATGCCCCTCTGGAAGACCCAGACAGAATGTAATAAGTGGACATGTCTGGGCAAAAGAGGACATTTGGTCACCATAATTTCCCCTCCTCCACCTCGTACACAATTTCGGGGTATGTGAAAAATCTAATAACTAGAGGGAGTTTCCTAATTTATGCTCTCATAATCCACTTGCTGGAGCCAAGTCTCTGTAAGCCAGCATTAATCAATTTGATTATCACAAATCAAGTCATTAACAAACAGACCTTTTGAAGAAAGAGATCCTATGATAAATAAACCACATAAAATAGTCTTAACATGTTCCCAACTAGGATTTATTTTAATTAGATTATTATGACATACTCCTGAAGAATTCTTTTCAAATTTATTTGATTTTGGTAATCTGCAACCCATTTCGGTGAGGTTATTGCTTTTTCTCATGGCAGCAGGTTGGTTTCAATAGTATTTTCAGATAAATGAACTTATCATTTGAAAAACACTTTATTTTTCTAGGTATTTTTCTAGGTATGATCAACAATTTATGTGTGAATAAAAAAAATGTAGAATTCATTAAGGGTTAACAATACGTCAAAGGCAATATTTGGCTTTTGCTTTATCTAAGGCTTATATTATATTAAAAGTATTATTACTTGATTGTAGGGATTTAAAAAATCACACAATTTATTTGAAATGGAATTAGTACCATACCAAACTTCCTTTAGCTTTTTCTTGTATTGTTCTTTAATTTTTCTTAAATTAAGTTGTGTTTTGCTGTAAATGGGTTAAATTACACACCTCAACCATACTGTACCCCTGTGAGAACAGCCACACAAAAGTCGACTGTACTCTCCTTTTCATTGGCAATCTTGAGGGGCATTGAGGGGATTGACAGGTTACAATATAGTTTGCCAGTCCATAACAGCAGAACAGAAAATTGTCTCACTCTTTAAGAAATCATAAACAAGTTGAAATATTAGCCATTGTTTAAAACTAAGATCTTCAGTGTGTTGCTTTTCTTTTCTCAGCTGTTTCAGAGCAGTATTATCCAGAACCACTGATTACAACAGAGTCGGGATTAGTTTTGGCTGCACATAAGCGAGGTGAGTTCAGTGAATATAAGTCTTAGAAATATTGACTACGGCCTCCAAGACACAACATTTTCTCTCTTAAGATCTATTCACTAACCAAACTAATGTTGAATGACATCTCAAAAAAGCTGTCATATCGTTCATCTTCTAATAGAATTATGGACATACCTTAGATCAGCAAAACAAAATAATTTGAATTGAAACAGAATAGAATTGAAATGAAGTAGATTTGAAATGTCCTTGAGTGTCCCTCAGTGAGTACATTCACCTAGGTAAATATACATTTTCCAAATACCTCTTCTTTGGCTAGGTAAATAGCAACTGAAAGCATAGAAATACACACAAGGCTAAAAAGATATTAAGAGAACAAAATTCCCCAAGTTAGATCATACTATGCAAAGAAAAAAAAAACAAATTACAGAAAAGAAAATCCTTCTGACCCATATCCGATTTTTTGCCAATATGCGACCTGTATCTGATAATTTTATCAGAGTCTGAACAAATTAAAAAAAAAATTTCCACTGTGACACAGGCCACTTGGCCCTGTGGTTCTGAATCCGATACGAATCTGATGTTTTCAAATGCGCCCGAAGTCTGAACAGCCGGGTCGCATTCATCCGATCTGATCTCAGTTAAGATTCAACAAAGGTCCCTTTTCCGCATCTTGCTACGCAAGAGCAGGGAGAAAAACAACAACCAACTACAATATTATTTTCAACCTTCTTTAAATGATTGTGCCATTGATGCTCTGGCTGAGGTTGCGAAAGAAATGAAAGATCGCTAGATTAGCTCCAGCAATACTGTCCATGGTTACTTCCGTAACCACAGACCACGCTTGCTTGTGACATCATTACATCCTTTACATGTGGGACACTCATGTTGTGTGAATGCAGTTCACACAGGAGATCACATACAGGTTGCATATATATGGAAATGTGAATGACCACTTAAAAGAATTGAATTTCACTTAAAATTCGGAATTGAGCATCAAGGCTTCAGTATGTGAACCTTAGGGATGTCATGTTTTTATTGATAATGACAGAAGTGTGCTGGTGAAGATTGTTACGTTCAAAAATGTAGGTTCGTAAAAGAGAAACTGAGTCCGCACAGAATAGGGATTAATGGCTTCTGCAGAAGGAGAGAGCCACATTCAGCTACATCTGCTCTCTGGTGGGTTTCCTCAGCAGAAGCCTTTTTATTAGCAGATCATAACACATGGGGTGGGTTACAGAATAGAGTGTTCTTCTGACAAGGCAATTGATCAGGTCATGGGACAAAATGCTCCTTCTGATTGAATCACAGAATAGAGTGGTCTCCCGATAACCATGATTATCCATGCACAAACATCAGCAATTTTCTACCAATGTTGCATGACAGTTTGCAGTCAACAGAGTTAAGCATCTCGTTTCTTCAAAGTTCCATATGCACATACATTAACTTTATAATCATCATTGAATAAACCCGACAAAGATCCTCAGTCATTTAGTTCATACTCATTCCAAAAAGTTAAAGGTAATTAGTTTTTCTGACATTTTCAATTGAAAAAAACATCCTGTATGGGAAGCGAAATGTCTTCAAACTTGGAAACAGTCCAGTGGATTATTTTTAAACTTTCTTTGGAATGACAGAAGAGGTAAAGCTTTCTTTATCATGTAAAATAATTTCACCCACACTCTCTGTAGTGTTTTAAACTTAACACTCAAAACAGCAGAAAGTATTTTTTTCTACCATACTTCCACATACAGAGAGGACATTCAAAACAATAGGAGACTTAACCCATTTCAGTACCCAAAAGAATCCAAAAGATTGTCTGTTTATACTAGTCACAGTTAAGGAGCTCTGACAGTAGTGTAGATACACAGTCCCTTATTTAGAAAAGCAATATGTAGGCTTCAATGAAGTCAACAAGAAAAGAACCAATTGAAGGTAAATTTATCTCTCTAGGATCAATCGAGAAGAGCGACGAAGTGAAAAGGAGTCCATTGAAGACCTTGCATCCAAGGGTTCTTCCAAAAGAAACTCCCAAAGAACCCAACCCAGAATCAAATCCCTTCAGAACATTTCCTATAGACCTTAACGTGAAGCCCCAAACCACTGCAGAGCTGGAAAGTAAACCGTCAGCAGGAATGAGACCACGGACGGGATCTTCACAAACAATAATGCCATCAAAATTGAATCCCTCTGAAGACATCACTCCTCCTCCTCTCACTTTAGAGGTAATAGATGGAGAAACGTGTCATGGGCAAGCAAAACAACCAAGCATATCAACATCTACATTTTCTTCAGAATCAAACAAAACTCCAGAGACAATGACACCCTTTACACAACTAGCAAGGGCCTTCATCCCACAGGACAATCAGCATTATCTTGGGCCACAGGAGAAGGCCCACATTCCTTCTTTCCAAGCAGTTGAACACGCTGGTGAAGAGACTGATGCTGCCGACAAAATGATAAAAGCCCCCAGCGCATCATCTGGAAACCAAAGTGATCAGAATTCTCCAAGTATGTATGCTTTTTTTTCTCTTTTTTTTTTAATAAAAAAAACTTTCACATCTAACAGCCTAACAGCCACAAGCAGAGCTTAATCATTGTCCCTGGAAAAGTCTTATACTGAAACTTTAAATTCTTTTTCCACTGAAAATTGCTCAGTCAAATTGACTCACTGAATCCAACAGGCTATGACCTAAAAATGAACATTTGCGATGGTTATTTACATGTTGGGTTTTCATTTTTGTTTGTTCTGATTCATAACATTATTTAGAATGATCAATTTCATGTTTATCTCACTAAGATTTAGATTTATTTAATTATCTGACAGGGCCAGTGTACGCATTAGATTCCTGCAAATGCACTAGAATTAGCCAAAAGTCTATTTTTACATCTGTTGTCCCTGAACAGATCTTAAAATTGTCTCCCTAAAAAGACAACAGTAAGAATTTTGCAGTGAAAAACACAAGTATAAAAAGAAATAAAACAGCTATAACTTTTTAAAACTTGTTTAAAGATACAGAATTATTGTTCACTAGACTACAGATTTTGGGTTATAAAATAGAATAAAACATTCAAATCAAAAATAATTACACTATATACACAGCAGAGACACAAGTACTGACATGACTGATGTGTTATGAGCCAGTTTTTTAGATGCTTTTTAAAAAGAGTGTATGTTGTAAACTATCTTAAGCCTCATTCCCACTGAAATTAGTCATTACTGTAAATAATACAACTTCTTCACACACAGATTCTCTTTTTAACATATTTATCACACTGTACAGAATAAAAATTTTCCACACACTGCTTCTCTTTTTAACATATATCACACTGCACACAATTAACCTTTTGTCTGCTTGTTTCATCACATCCACAAAGTCTTCATCCTCAATGTGTAATGATCTCAGAATATTGGACCCAGAATTCAAGGCGAGACAGGCAGTGGGAAAGTTCAAAGCGTTTATTAAACAAACAGGTGCGCGGGGCTGCTCGTCTGCTGCAGGGCAGATCTCTGCAGGGATGGGAGAATACAGGTCAGTGACTGGATGTGGAGCTGAATACGACTTGGAGCAAAGTCACTGACCTGATTCAAAGTTCAGTCCGTTCGCGGAGGTTTGTCCGCAGAAGCAGCGGGCGACGCCCCCAGAATTCCTAGAGAGTGAGTGGAGCAGGCGCCAGCCGACACCGAGTAGTTGCGGGTCGAAAGCTCATCCTTGATGCTTTCCCGCAGGCCAAAGAAAAAAACATCCATGAGGGCATCCTCATTCCAGGAACAGTCGGCAGACAACAGGTGGAAGTCAGTGATGTACTCCATCACTGACCGCTCTCCCTGTCTGAGAGTCAAAAGTCCCCTGGAGGGAACCCGTTCCTACTACTACAAGCCCACCCGTTCCTACTTCTACAGGTCCACCTGTTCCTACTACTACAGGCCCAACCGTTCCTACTACTACAGGCCCAACCGTTCCTACTACTACAGGCCCAACTGTTCCTAATACTACAGGCCCACCCGTTCCTACTACTACAGGCCCACCCGTTCCTACTACTACAGGCCCACCCGTTCCTACTGCTACAGGCCCACCCGTTCCTACTGCTACAGGCCCACCCATTCCTACTGCTACAGGCCCACCCGTTCCTACTACTACAGGCCCACCCGTTCCTACTACTACAGGCCCACCCGTTCCTACTGCTACAGGCCCACCCATTCCTACTGCTACAGGCCCACCCGTTCCTACTACTACAGGCCCACCCGTTCCTACTACTACAGGCCCAACCGTTCCTACTGCTACAGGCCCACCGGTTCCTACTGCTACAGGCCCACCCATTCCTACTGCTACAGGCCCACCCGTTCCTACTACTACAGGCCCACCCATTCCTACTGCTACAGGCCCACCCGTTCCTACTGCTACAGGCCCACCAGTTCCTACTGCTACAGGCCCACCCGTTCCTACTGCTACAGGCCCACCCGTTCCTACTGCTACAGGCCCAACAGTTCCTACTGCTACAGGCCCACCCTTTCCTACTGCTACAGGCCCACCCGTTCCTACTGCTACAGGCCCACCCGTTCCTACTGCTACAGGCCCACCCGTTCCTACTGCTACAGGCCCACCCGTTCCTACTGCTACAGGCCCACCCATTCCTACTGCTACAGGCCCACCCATTCCTACTGCTACAGGCCCGTTCCTACTGCTACAGGCCCACCCATTCCTACTGCTACAGGCCCACCCATTCCTACTGCTACAGGCCCACCCATTCCTACTGCTACAGGCCCACCCGTTCCTACTGCTACAGGCCCACCCATTCCTACTGCTACAGGCCCATTCCTACTGCTACAGGCCCACCCGTTCCTACTGCTACAGGCCCACCCATTCCTACTGCTACAGGCCCACCCGTTCCTACTGCTACAGGCCCACCCATTCCTACTGCTACAGGCCCACCCATTCCTACTGCTACAGGCCCACCCGTTCCTACTGCTACAGGCCCACCCGTTCCTACTGCTACAGGCCCACCCATTCCTACTGCTACAGGCCCACCCGTTCCTACTGCTACAGGCCCACCAGTTCCTACTGCTACAGGCCCACCCATTCCTACTGCTACAGGCCCACCCGTTCCTACTGCTACAGGCCCACCCAAATCCTACTGCTACAGGCCCACCCATTCCTACTGTTACAGGCCCACCCGTTCCTACTGCTACAGGCCCACCCGTTCCTACTGCTACAGGCCCACCCGTTCCTACTGCTACAGGCCCACCCGTTCCTACTGCTACAGGCCCACCCGTTCCTACTGCTACAGGCCCACCCGTTCCTACTGCTACAGGCCCACCCATTCCTACTGCTACAGGCCCAACCGTTCCTACTGCTACAGGCCCACCCGTTCCTACTGCTACAGGCCCACCCGTTCCTACTGCTACAGGCCCACCCGTTCCTACTGCTACAGGCCCACCCGTTCCTACTACTACAGGCCCACCCATTCCTACTGCTACAGGCCCACCCCGTTCCTACTGCTACAGGCCCACCCGTTCCTACTGCTACAGGCCCGTTCCTACTACTACAAGCCCAACCGTTCCTACTTCTACAGGCCCAACCGTTCCTACTAATACAAGCCCAACCGTTCCTACTACTACAAGCCCTCCAGTCCCTACTACTACAAGCCCAACCGTTCCTACTACTACAAGCCCTCCAGTCCCTACTTCTACAGGCCCACCCGTTCCTACTACTACAGGCCCACCCGTTCCTACTTCTACAGGCCCAACCGTTCCTACTACTAGAGGCCCAACCGTTCCTAATACTACAGGCCCAACCGTTCCTACTGCTACAAGCCCACCCGTTCCTACTTCTACAGGGCCAACCGTTCCTACTACTACAGGCCCAACCGTTCCTAATACTACAGGCCCACCCGTTCCTACTTCTACAGGGCCAACCGTTCCTAATACTACAGACCCACCCGTTCCTACTACTACAGGCCCAACCGTTCCTAATACTACAGGCCCACCCGTTCCTACTACTACAGGCCCAACCGTTCCTAATACTACAGACCCACCCGTTCCTACTTCTACAGGGCCAACCGTTCCTACTACTACAGGGCCAACCGTTCCTACTACTACAGGCCCAACCGTTCCTAATACTACAGGCCCACCCGTTCCTACTACTACAGGCCCAACCGTTCCTAATACTACAGACCCACCCGTTCCTACTACTACAGGCCCAACCGTTCCTAATACTACAGACCCACCCGTTCCTACTACTTATTACAAATTAATTATAAACAATAAAATTTTTTAATAGCCATTCGTCATGGGAGTGGCCATTTTTGCCCAAATATAGTAACCCCTCCCTCCTGCCATCTTCCAGCAGTGGCGTCACGGTGCGGTAAGCCTCGCCCCATTCTCCCCGCTTTACAAGCAAAATCAATGGGAACTACCAGACACATCTGCAATCCACAAGAATGATTGAAGATTTCCAGAGGACCTCACCATTGAAATTCACCAGAGCTATAGTGAAACTGACAATGCCCACGTGCATGGCAGCTGGATGCTGGAATAGATCGGGTCAAAGTGAAAAAATAAAAGAAGTTATTCCACCTTTCTGATTCCTGATCCTCCACTGACAGGTTCGTCGTTGGATTGCCAACTTGAAGAGGGAGGATTTGCCATTGAACTTTTGGCCAGAGAAAAAACACGTAATATGTAGCCAACATTTGGAAGAAGAATGTTTTCAAGATGACTTGGATAATAGCACGTTGTGACAAACACTAGATACAGCACTGGGACTTGATCAACAGCCGATACCGCACCGTTACGTCACAAACCAGTAGGTGGCAGTAGTGTTTTTTGACAAACATGGATGCCTCAAGCACATTCAAATGAAAATTACTCTTAATTAACAACACTTGTCATTTATTGAACAATTCAATTCAGTTTATTTTATTTGACAGTGTTTAATAATTTCATATTTAAAGTACTTTCAGAAGTTTGTATTCTAAATATGACCGGACTTTTCCCTTAAGATGCATTTGCACCAAACATGAAGCCTGTGAAAATTCATCCGCTTTTGCTGCCCCTGATAGTCGCCCAGCCAGCGAAAGCATTTCACATGGATGGATAATTTGCCCAGTGGGTGAAGCCGGCGGCGTCATGGAGTCTTCTGGTCATTGATTTCACCTCATCATGGCAGATTTACAAAGCGACTAGCAGTGCTTTTGACTTTAGAAGTCCGAAAAAAGCTGTTGTGTTCCTAGATTCCCCAGATTACCAGATAGTATGAGTGTGTATGAGGTTTACCACCACCTACTTCAGAAGCTAGGTAAGTTGCTCTTAGCGGCACTTCCAGCTATCCGTTAACCCAGTTCGGTGCCCTGCTGTCCCACATAGGGGGACAAATCACCCAGACAACAGACAGAAGAAGCGGGAAATCAGTGTGAGAAAACCAGCAGAGATAAAACAGCACCAGAACTGGGCTGCCAGCTGTCTGTTGCTTCATTCTGTATCTCTGCTTCTGTCTCCTTGAACCCCAGTCAGCCTCAGCAGATGGCCGCTCACACTTAGCCTGGTTCTGCTGGAGGTTTCTTCCTGTTAAAAGGGAGTTTTTCCTCTCCACTGTCTTAATAGGCATGCTTGGCATGGATTGCCTTCGAGTCAATTAGTCGATGCAATCAACTGGTATTCCGTTGATTTCGTCCTTCATTTTAGGTGCGATTATCTATCTCTGTTACAGGGATATGTACCAAAGGCTTTTAAGGTTGCTCTAATTAAACCTTTACTTAAGAAACCGTCTCTTGACCAAGATGACTTGGTCAGTTATAGACCTATATCCAATCTTCCTTTTTTATCTAAAATTCTTGAGAAAGTAGATGCCAGACAACTGTGCGACCACTTACACTCTCTTAATCTTCTGACATGGGAGCTGGCTCGGAGCTCGTCTGCCTGGCTGTTTCCTGGACGGGGCCGTCTGTGAGTCTGGTTGACAGTTACCTTTTGTATCTATGCTTCTTTTTCTATGTCAGCTTCTGTCTCCTTGAACCACAGTCAGCCTCAGCAGATGGCCGCTCACACTGAGCCTGGTTCTGCTGGAGGTTTCTTCCTGTTAAAAGGGAGTTTTCCTCTCCACTGTTGCTACAAGCAGAGGTGTCAAGTAACGAAGTACTGTACAAATACTTCATTACTGTACTTAAATACACTTTTTAGGTATCTATACATCATTCTATTACTTATTTTTCTTCCTACTTCTGACTTCTACTCATTACATTTTCACACAAGTATCTGCACTTTCTATTCCTTACATTTTTAAAACAAACATTACTCGTCACTCTTGGCTTCGTTTTAATGCAGACGTCACGAATTAGAGGACGGTGGTCTGGATCCGGACCCACCTGCTGGCTAATTCGGACCCAACCTGATTTAAAACATTTATGGAGATGAGAAATGTGCTTCCGGGTCTGTTGAAGTACCAATAGTTTGCATCCAAACTTTTAAATAGACTGTGTTATTTTTTTGAAATATATAAGAATTATGCTTTAATTTGTATTTACCAATCTGTTGTTACTGTATTTTTATTTGACAAACCGGATCTTCTCAACATTCTTTTTTGTGTTTGGTGAGATTGCAATAGCGAATCTTGACCGGAGCGGAGCAGAGCGAAGCAGAGTCTGCACATTTAGAGGATGTTTGGCTCAACCTGCTGCTGTGAAGCAGGATTCTCCACCATGAACAGAATCAACAATAAATCTGAATCCAGGCTCAAAATGAGCACCTTGATATGTGCTTTAGAATGGCTTAGTCTCCATTCAAACCCAGGTTTAAAACCTTGCAGGGCAGCCTGAAGCCCACTGCCAACATTAAGACAGAAAAAAGAAAGAAAAATAACAAACGCTCAGTTCAGGTGTTTTATAAAACATGTGAGTTAGGAAATTGTCTATATACCAAACTGAATGATTGTTGTTATCTACTTTAAAAAAACACTTTAGGTTTTAAAATGGAAACATTTTCAATTTTTTTTTCTATTTTTTTTTTTATTATTTAAACATTCAATGTATAACATGGATGCATAAACACCTTATTTTATTTCAGGGTTAAATTCTGTTTAAATTAACAGACCCTTAAAAATGTGTCTGGACCTTTACTGGTTGATTTTTAATTGGTTCCCCTGGTTTAATTTTTATAAACATTTATTTCCCGTCATGTGCTCCATCCAATGCAGATCATTGGCTCCATCCACATCTAGTGAAAACTAGTGGGATTGGATGAGTCATAGAACCCAAACACTCATTGGTTAGCTAAAGGAAATCATCAGAAGCAAGCAGGTGTTCTTCAAACTGCAAACGTGAATTGTCTATGCCATGCTACAACGTAGGATTCAGAAAAAGATGTTAAAATGTCTGAAAGGTCGGACACAGGCGAGAGCATATCAGGAGATGGAGACGGAGACCAACAAGACCCTCATCCTTGGCCCTATCCCAAAGAATTTTTAGAAACAGTTGAAAAATTGAGCTTTCAGTTCATATAGTGGCATCTGGCTGTTTTTTTTTAAAGGTTACTTTATACTTCAACTTTTACCAGAGTGTTTTTAAACTGCAGTATCTATACTTCTACTTAAGTGACAAATGTGTGTACTTTTGACAACACTGGCTACAAGCATGCTTAGTGTGAGGGATTGCTGAAGAGTCAATGAGTCGATGCAATCAGCTGGTTTTCCTTAGATAGAAAACTTTTAATCAATCTGACTGGATGATCTGGTGAATTGTAAAGTGTCTTGAGATTACATGTGTTGTGAATTGGTGCTATAGAAATAACCTCAATTGAATTGAATAGAAAGCTTGTATGATCTGGATGAATTATTTCTGTAAATGATGTGGCTGAATTGAATTGAATGATGTGGTTGTGTAAAGACCACTGATTTACTGCTGCTCCTGTCTGAGCTCCAGAATGCCACCGTTTCATCATGCCTCTGTTGTCTCTAGTGGATCCTTGTGGATCACCATGCTTTCTCTGGCCAGGCAATTTTCAAGGTGAAGCCTGACAAGCTTGTTAGGGGAGTGGTGGCCTAGTGTTAGGGTGTAGAGCTTGGAATCTTGAGGTTGTGATTTTGAAACCCAATCCCACAGGCTGCCACTCTGGGTCTCTGAGCAAGACCCTTAACCCCTGATTGCTCCTCAGGCTCCCCACGATGGCAGCCCACTGCTCCCCATGGGCATGGGTTAAACACAGAGGTACATTTCTTCAATGTGACAAAAATAGAGTTCAATTATTATAGGCTGCGACTGATCAGTGGACCACAGGAAGGACCACAGAACGATCCTTTTTTTTTTTTTTTTTTTTACAGTGTCCTGCCTGGCAATTTGGCAATAAGAATAATTGTCTTGATGCCAAAAAGAGCCCAACAGATTTTACTTTCACTTGCTTCATGCATATAAATTGCTTTATTATAATTATGCAGGGAGTTTTACAGTTTATATAGACACTGCAATGTAAATACAGCAGAAAAACAGAAGAAGAAAAAGGAAAAAAGAAAAAAAGAGAAAAGATGAAAGAAAGAAGAGATAGAAAGGAGATAATAACAAAACATTTTCCGTCTGCTTCATCACCTGTAACGAGATGAAAAAAGAACAGCACAACTGAAGGACATGGTACAAGACATACAATAAAGCAACACCTTGAAACTATCGCTGAAGTAGTATTATTAAGTCTGACATGTACTCTGTGTTACCTGAAGATATGAATGTGGGGTTTCTGTATGGAAGTGAATCTCAGAGTACCATTGAGCCAAGCACCTGTAATTGTTTGTGAGGGTGAACTTGTGCATGTAAAGTTTATCCATAGAAAAAAAAAGCTCAATAGTGGTTGTGGAGAGCCGAAGAGGCGCCCCATCCTTCTAAGGCTAAATGAAAATGGGTTTTTAAAAGCCACCCAGAAACCTCTCAATAGCATTCCCCATTTCATCCACTCTCATCATTATCTCCTCTAATTTACATTTTTATTAAAGAATCCATGCTTCTTCCGATAGAAGACGCATGGACAAATGTGCACTCCAATTAAGGAGGCATGGGTTCTTCGTGTTCCTTCTTTTTCTGGTTTAGTTTGTATAGGTCGTATTGTTGAACAGATGAATTGCTTTTTACAGGTAATTATTCATTTAATAGATTTTACTCTATGTGGCTGTGGTAATTTTATATTGCTGACCTGTTGTTTCGTGGGCAAGTACTGAACACTGTCTTGGGTCAACAACTTGATTATTTGAATAAATTTCTTGTGATTTGGTTAATAATTGTTCATTGCAGTTAGAGATTTAACATTTCAGACATTAAATTTAGTGGTAATTGATTTAATCCTGGGTCCATAAGCTGTTTAAATATCCACATTTGCTGGTAAATGAATGGGTTTATTGTTAATTGATAATACCGGTTGTTAATGATAGCAATTAAAGGCTGGTAAACATTAATCACAACTATCTAAAGTATTTTTTGTTAGGGTTTATATTGACTAGAAGGATAAATTATTGATTATTTTCAATTCTAATTAGTAATATTCATGATCAAATAGGAATAACTGTAAAACAATACTTTACTGTCCTGCAAAGATTTCCCTAGGTTTTGAATAAGAACAATGGTTCTTGCAAATCACCATAATTAACATCCTGTTACTTACCTTATTTATAACAAAACTAATACAAATGGGGGCAGTAATCTAAGTGTTTTTGAATAACTATACAGGTAAATATGCCAATTCTGCTCAAATATTTGACTATACTTTTTTTTTTTTTTTTATCAGGCTATGCTGAAAATATTGAGAGATCGGCATGGACGAAGCTATCTTCAAGGAACCTAACTTCATCCAGGAGTCTGGAAAATCTCACCTCAGAAACAAGTAATAGACTATATACAATGCAATGTGATTTTCATACCAGTGTTTGATGTTGTTTAACAGATCATTTTTAATATATAAAGAAAAGATACATAAAAAAGGAACAAAAACTGTTTAGTGACTTGTTTAGTGAAATGATAGATGACACCTCATGCAAAATGATTTATAACCCCCTTAACGATTTATGACTTCCCTCTTCTGCACCATCTGTCCCCTCTGCTGATGAAGATGATGATCCTCCATCTTCCTCAGATGTGTTTTTGACTGGAGCATTTTTCCTTTATTCCTGAATTAATTTACTATCATCTATCGCTTTTTTATGTCAAGCTTTAAATTGTTTAAATTCACCTCAGATATTCCTTTCATCCAGCATCTTACATCTTTCCTAAATGAGTTTATTTAAAGCTTTAAATTGCATGCCTAACTTGTTTTGATTAAGAAACACCATATTATGATTATAATACGTTCTAAGAGAAACTCTAAAAGTTTTAAAATTATGTGCTTTGAGTTATCATCCTATCCTTTCCGTGAATTAGGGCTGGACTGTTAAAATACATTTTCAATTTTCAAATTTGTGCAAGCACTCAATTTTTAATTGCAATACATTTAACAAGACACAAAATGTCTCTGTTCAGCCCCTAAGTGGCAGTAATATGATTACAGTGGGCATGCTGTTACACAGAAACTAAGACATTCTTAGCTAGCACCCTAGATTAATGCGTTATAGTAGAAATAAAAACTTGTTTGTGCAAATTTAACAGTAAAGCCTTGACGTTATAAGATGAGCCGAGGCTTTCAGGCGTGTGTTAAGTAATGGAGGGGGTTTTTCCCTGAAGCTCGTGTCGAGGGGTGATTAATTTAGAGGAGGGGCCAAAATTTATGATGTTTCTACCGTGATACCATGTGACCTCTTCAGGAAGTTGATCAGACCGCACGAGAACTTTGACAGGTATTTAAACAGCCTCACTACTCAGTCGAGATGTGGCAGATTGCAGGAGAGTTGCTGTCAGTTGGATACAGTTTGGATAGATTCTAAAAATAGATGGGTTGGAAAAACAAGCAATCTAGTTAACTATTTGGTTAGATTTAAACAATTCAATTATCAAAATCTGAGCAAGCCACTGGTTACAGTTGTTACATTAGTGTTAAGTAGTATTGCTTTCTAGTGAATTAGACTTTTGAAAGTTGTGATAATACTTGCACAAGTATTTTGGCTTGGTTTGCCCTTTTAAAAATATAGATTGGGTAAAAAAATTACCAAATTCGATTGGTTGGTTTAGCCAAAAGAACAAATAACTTCCAACCAGATTAAAACCAAAAACTCGTAAAAACTATAATGTTTGAATAAAAATGACTAACACCTTTCATCATTGCCCAATTTGCACAAACACTTTCAGTGTCTGCTTGAGCTTATTTCACTAAAATGGCAAAAGAATTGTGTACCTTAAATGATTGTTCTCTTTTAAGACATTTTAAACCCAAAGAAACTTACAAAATATTTTATTATATACACCAATCATTAGCAATTTCAAATGGGAAAAAAGCAAGAAAAACAATTGCAAAAAAAGCACAGATTATATTATAACTGTAGTTATGCACTCCACCAGTAGGTGGTGATATGTCCGCATGAAGCTTCATGAAGCAATTTGGCCAAACAGTTCAATGCCTCATATGGTTGGGAATTGATTTCACAATTCCCTTATCGATTCTGTGAAACAATGAACTTGGTAAGTGCACAGTGACATTCGTCTACCTTCGCCTGGGACATTCTATTTCTGCCTGCCTCAGTGAAAACAGAAGGCAGTGAACGGGAGCTGCCAGCCTTTGAGCCAGCCAGGCTACCCGTCGCGTCACAGTCATCTAAATTGGATGGAGAAGGCAGCCGTTTAATGAAAAAGCATTACTGTACAATTTTGGGAAATAAATACATCTCCCCATGATTTAAATAAATAAGCGTCACCTTTCTCTCTCTCCCTAAATTGTGGAGCAACTTTGCAGCATATTTCGTTACATCCATTGCAATAGCTAGAATCATGTAAGAATTCCAGCTACCAGTAGTTCTAAATAAACATGCTAGCAACGAAGGGGTTGATTAACGAGAAAGAAATCTAACTACTAAAGAGAGGTGGGTAGGTTTATTTCCGGAAATGGCATATGATTTACTAGGAACCACCTTAAGCAAAGCCAGTGATATAAAATTAGCTACTTACCACTAGAGTTGCCTTCCATGCTGATCGTAACTTTAGCTTCTGTCAGGAAGCATCAGAAACATGGCATTCGTTAAAATGTATGCCATGCTGTGTGCGCAAGTATTTCTGCATGTTGGATGTACTTCCTCTGGCGGATGTATTTGCCACTTTGCAATGATTGCAAAGCGCCTTCTTGCCATCTTTCTCTTCCTTAAAATGAAGCTAAAGTTTTGCTTTTATAGACTTACGCCTGGTAAAGATGTATCTGTTTACTGAATGCCGTGTGCTAACTTGCGTAAAAAACGTGACTAAGTCATGCTGCCCAGAGATAGGCTCTGGTGCTGCCAAACCATGCCATGGAGTTGGAACACATGGAACCAGCTCTGAACAGAAACAGGTTTTCGATTCCCATCCCTAATGCCTCATGAGGCTTCATCTCACAGTCTCTACCTGCAACACTGGACTCTAGACAAGCAGGCTTTCATGGTCATTAAAAAACGGAAACCCTGGACTTAAACATGGACATGCTTGTGCCTAGAGCAAAGGATTATCACAAAAAAATCGCAATCGAATTGTCCCACAAAGAGGAAATTCTGGTGTTTACAGTGTGAAAATATTGTAGAAAATATAGTCAGACAATTTTTTTTTTGTAAAATCGTTCACCCCTTCAGATGATGGTACAATTAGACCATAATATATGTATTTTCTAATGAAACTTTGCTATCAATCAATCGATCGATCGATCAATCAATTTTCTTCATTGTCACTACAATTTACATTGCAATCAAAATTTCAGTTTCAGTCCAACCGTTTATCACAATATATCACATACATTCGGGTGGGGGGGCTGAGAGGGGGAATGGATTGACTTAGGTCATGCATCCCACAGAATGCTGCCATTTGGCAGAACGGCGCATTCTTACGGCTTGCCAGGTTCCCACCAGTTACTTTGCTCCTGAGGTCCCAGGCGGTTCCCTAATAGCGCTGCCTTTCATCTCTGTGGAAAAGATAGGAGCCACCATGGGGAAGAGAGGGGAAAAAAGCACATTTCACACTTTATCCTTGACAGGATACAGTTTGAGATATCAAAAAAACCTCTGCTCAAGAAAGCACATGTACCACAAGACAGACATTTCAGCAGAGGGTCACATCTGAGGCGAAATCACATGAATTCAATCTGACATTGAGGCATATTATTGTGCGTGTCTGATGATTGCGTTCAATTTGTCAGTAAACGCTGACCACAGGCAATGTGAAGTTTATCAACAGTCACTGGGCGCATCCACAGATGTTTTAGATGTAGGGAAGATGGTAAGCAGTTCCTCTGTGCCCTTTCGCCATAACATCCAGGGGAGATTAGGTAGAGAGGATAGGTCGAATCCAGACTAACACTTATTGTTTTGAGAGCAGGCTGCACAGGAATTTCCTTCAGCCTTGAGTCTTTGTCTTGCTGAATTTTTCCTGGGGAAATCCAATATTCCAAATGTGTTGGGCTTTTCCGCCTTGAAGCAAGCGTGCCCATCCAAGATGTTATCCCATCACACCTTTGAGTTCAACCACCGCTGCCAGCGTGCGAGCTCAGAAAAGGAAAAGACACAGCAAAGCAGGGACAGTCAGGGAGGTGCAGGAGCAGCAGGGAAAATGCGACTCCTCCAACAGTCAGAACAGAAGAATGTATGAGGAAGGCAACAATGATGCAGTAATCAATTGATTGGGAGCAGGTGTGGACAAGACTAGAAGGTGAGCTAGGGGAAATGAGACTGGCACAAGGGGGGGACAGAGAGTAAACAAGAAATACATAAGAACTCAAATACAACCAGAAAACTAACAGTAAAGTAAAAAACTAGAATGACACAAAATGGAAATGAAAACAAAGACTAAAATAAAATAAAAACAAAATGTCCAAAAAGGGCAGAATCATGACAGCAATAGATACAGACATGTAAAAAAAAACAGCCTAGACAATCTGAATGTTAGCTGTGTTGAATCCAGTAAACCGTTTAGATTGTACATTTTAAAGTATTCTAGGAAGAAAAGTAGGACATCTTTCAACTAGATTTATCAATGAACACTGACTAAAAGGTTTCTTGTTTCTCAGTTGAGGGTAAATAACTAATGTGACTGCAGTCAAGTCACAATGGAAAATACGATGAGTAATTCTTTAGTTTCGTAGAGTCCTAACACAAGACAAGGGAATTTCTGAGAAGATTTTGTGTACTGTATTGTGAGTTGGTAGGTATGAGATTTAATTTACCTATTAGTGACAAAAATGAAACCCTCTTCTGGACAGATGGTCCTGAGGAAGGATATAACTTTATGAGGGTTCTTTTTTAAATGTTATATTTATGATTTGATTTATGTCCTTCTGCATCCATCTTAGTTAAGGGTTTCTTTTCCATTCTGTGTCATTGTGACAGGGTTCTATAATGATTTGGTCAAATATAAATGACTGGCCAGGGGAGAGGAGACTTGCCTAAGGGAGCAAAAGAGATTAACTCAAAAAAACAACACTGCTTAAATATAACCAGAAAACAGCTAGAATGACTATGACAGAGGAGCTCTCATCAGCCGGGACTTAGTTATAAGTCCATGTCAGCATGAGCACATGCATACACAAACACATACATAATCGTAGCAAACTTTTTGTTGCAGCTCGGGCTCGGGTTCATCGTGGGTGCACACGCTGTGTTCCTGCTTCAGTTAACATTCATCTTAACCTGTTATTTTCAGCTTTGAATATTTTCCCGGTTCTATTTTCAAGGAGGGTTGTTTCCAGATTGAGGCTCGCCAGGAGGAAGTCATTTGATGACTGTTTGAGTGTTTTCTATTAAATTGAGTATTGTATTCTGATTACAAGTTTAATTTAATTTCTCTTGTTAATGTTATTACTTATTATTATTATTTTGTAAAATTTCAGAGTTTATCTGAGTTAGAAGTAATTTCTTAGAGTGTCTGTGGACGGAGCCTGCAGCTTTAAAAGCAGGGCTGCTCCACAGGGAGTCCGTCTGTGCTGGACTCCTGAGAAGTCACACTGAAGGTGATGGACTCTGCTGTTTCTCTGATTTTAACCTGCTCTGGACTTAATTTGTATATATTCTGCACCTCCCATCTTTGTTCACCTGAAGAAGCTCAATAAATTTCACTAAAGTGGTCTACGGCCTTGGCTCACTGTCCGCACCTGCTCCCTATCAGCTGATGAGCCCATTTTTTTGTTCTATCTCCAAATATACACCTCATGTGCAGTTCCTCATTGCTGAATTCTCTTTATTACTTTATTCCTTATGTTAGTTTTTCTGACAGTCTCCTTTTTTTTTTCATTCCTTGCCTGTTGTTTCTATTTATTTCTGGATTATTTACTCATTTACTATCAGAGTCTTCATTAAATCTACAAATAATTTTCTCCCTCTTCACTCTGCATTTGGGTCCACAACAATATCCAACAACCCTGACAGGGAAATACATATTTTTTGACGTAAGGTGTCATCAATCATTTTTTTCCTATGGTATAAGTATTAAGAGTTTTAGCTCAGTTTTAATGCAGTTTCAAAAAAAAGAAGTAGAAAGAAATAGCTTAAGATTAGGATGTAACACGTGGATTCTGAAAAAATTATTTTGATGAAATTGAGAACTTAACCCGTTCCTTTTTGTATTAAATAATAATTAATATGTAGTGAGGGAATAAAAGTCTTCTACTTTTTCTTTTTATCATTCCATCAACAGCTCTAGCTCTTTCAAGTTTCAGTACCATGAAAAGCAGTGTTTCTTCGCTCAGTCTTCAGCCGCAAAAGGTAAATAACTCTTCATCTTTCAACAGAGGCATAATGTTCAGTCTGTATTAGAGTTCCACTTCAGAATCAGAATTATTTATTAATTCCTTGTGGCCTATTCTTTTCTTGCAATAAGGCAGCTTACAAAAGCTGATTAACGTTTACATTTCAGCTGCAAAAAAGGGCCTGTTGCTTAATTTTTTATGCTTGTACACATTAAGGTCAGACGTGCCTCAAGAGCATCTTTGTTGCTCCTGAAGTGCGTCCAGTAAAGTGTGTCCAGATGTGTCTGATGTTTCTACTGCTCCTGTGTTTAATGGCAGAGAGCGGCTTTGCTATATTAGCTGTGATCAGCAAGTGAGAAAGTCCTCCTGAAAACATGGTCTGTGCAGTCAGTTCATCCAGATTACCATCCTGCCGTCAAAGATTATTTCTCTGTGGGAGCCGCTCAGACCCCCACATACCGGTGTTGGTACCAGATTGACTCGGGCTGCCAGATTGACTCGGGGGCCTGCGCCTTTTGATGACGTCACAATACATAATTGTTTTAACGTTTGCACAATTGCGCAAAACATTTTGATTGGACTGGACAGCTTACTAAAGTAATTATAGCGGGGTGTAGGTTTTATTCGAAAGCGGGATTGCGGTTTGTAAACGGACAATTTTACGAAGAAATTCTCCATGGGCCTTGCGCCTCCCGATGACGTGACATTATGGCAACGCCACTCAAACAAACTACATTGAGCCCGCGGTCTGCATTTGTAACGAGAATAAATTCAGGAGAATGAAGCTAAAGGGATACAAAAAATAAACTTGTAATATTACAAAAACAAAAATACTACGAATACAAAGTATATTCAGAGATTAAAGTCCCTCTGATACTGTTTAAGTGACTGAGAAACTGCAGATTTGCCACATTTAAGATGGCGGACGCTCTGACGCATCTCAAGAGGCGCAGGCCCCCGAGTCACTCTGGTACCTACACCGGCGCTGCACTGTCACTGGGAATCCCCAGCAGCAGCTGCCTCAGGCCTGAATGCCTCTTGGGGGTTTTCCCCTCCTGTTGGTGGCGGCTGGAAGTAGATGTTAGCATTTTTTCAGGTACCGCAGGCACCAGGACAATAAAATCGAACATATTCTGCCGTCAGATTTCGACATTTTAAGTTAATTTATCATAGCGCTCTGCATCAGCAGTGCTGTGTCTGTCTCCCTGCCAGCTCCCAGATCAGCTTTTCTGATTGGTTGATGTGGTGTGTTGAGCAGAAAAACTTCAATTATTCAAACTCCAGCATCTGCTGCTTGTGAAACGTGTCACGCTACTCAGATGCTCAGAAGCTCATGAGGCGCTGCTTCAGCTGCTCAAATGTATCAAAATGCACTGCTCTAGGTGTGCAGCAGGACCTTTCGGTACACCTTGATGCCCGTCAACCATTCACTTTGCATGTAAAGTGACTGCTTCTGATGCCCAAAGTTCTTTAGGTGTGAACGTCGCTTTGGAACGTAGGGTTGGGTTATATTTTGTTTTTAAAGAAATATTTGATCTTCACAAAATAATATTTAAAAATTAGCGCTTGTACGGTTAAACCATACCACTGCTGTTTCAAGCTATATCAGCATTTCTGCTTGCTGATTCTTCCTATTAAAAGGATGGTTTTCCTCACCACTATTGCTCCAATTCTGTTCAGTGTTAAGGATTGCTGTAGAGTCAACCACACAATGCAAGTTAATATCCTTACTAAAAGCTCATCCATCGTTACTTGCATAACTCGATACAATCAATTAGTCCTTAGAAAAAACATTTTACAGGTCTGGCTGCATTATTTAATTAAATTATCTTTGGATGATATGGTTCTGAATAAATTAAAGAATTGAAGTTTATTGCTATACCGTACATTTATAACTGATATTTGCAAAAAAGTTTTCCTAGTGAAAATTATTTTCAAACATATCTAATTAAATAAAATAAAAAAATGAATTACAGGTATCTGAAACTGCAGTTTTGACCAGTAAGATTGAAGTAATAGATATCTGTAACTTAATTTAACCAGCCAAAATAAGGTAAGACATATCTGTAATTCAGTTTTCATTATCAAAATAACGTCACAGATTTCACACAATTCAAACTAGTCTTAATGATATTACCACTAATCAAAATAACATGATCAAATGTCTGGTTGTAATTGTTTCTCTATCATGTAGCTCATAACAATGAAAACTAGACGGCATGGACACTATGGCAACCAGAAGTCCCAGATTTCCGGGGACAGGTGGTCCAAAACGGGGACTAAATCCGTCCCTGGAAATGTCCCCGATATTACCGTTTTAGGAATGCAGGGGTAAATGTTGTGTGTAGACTGTTACTATGGTAAGAGCGTGCGAGAATGCTGCACGCTTTTGATGCATTGTGATAAATATTTGGTTTGTGCCCTGGTTAATAAAAAAAAGGCATTATTTTGTTTTGTTTTAATAAATGTTTTTATAACTGATTGGTGACCTTTAGTTTATATCTTCAGGGTTAGTTATTGTAAGTAGAGTTAAAAGTTGTTTTGCTTCTTTATGGTTGTGATTTATGAGCATAGACTACCAGGCTTAGGTCTACTTTTCTACCACTCAGTTTGGATATATGAAAGTTCCTCATTATAAAAAATAAGAGTCATTAAAAGGAAAACTGAATGAGACAAGATCTGCATGATCTGAGAATGATGGAGGAAAAGATAACCACCTGTTTAATGTTCATTTATTTAGTTTTTACTTTTAGCTGCAAATATTGTGGTGATTAGCCTTTTTGTTATTTAATCAAGTGAGATAAGTATGAAGGACCAACTCTGCCATATTTAAAAATAAATACAGAAATAACAAAAAAGTGAGACATAAATGTATATAACTCTTAATTAGCTTCTTTATTTATTTGCCTTTGTAATATTTACCTTATTTATTTTTCTGTCCTTTATAATCTTCAACTTTATTTTTTAATTACTTATATTTTTAAGTATTTATTTATGTGCATGTTAAAATATTTTTGTCTGTTTTATTCTTCCTTTGTATTTTTTTACCTTAGTTATTTCTTCGCCGCTGTTTATTTCTCTCTGCCCTTTTTACATTTCTCTATGCCCTTAAAAGTATAAGGTTCTCGCCTCAAATGATCTTAAAACGTACTTTTATTGAACAACAGCAACAGAAAAGAGAACATTTAACTTAGTACTCTGAGCTCTGTGAGTTAAGAAGATGGACCGCCAAGCCAACCAATGAGCAGAAGTTGACTCTCTAGGACACACCCCCTCCTCATTTGCATAATGAGACAGAAACGCAGACAGAAATGTAAAAAGGGCAGACAGAAATAAACAGCGGCGAAGAAATAACTAAGGTAAAAAAATACAAAGGAAGAATAAAACAGACAAAAATATTATAACATGCACATAAATAAATACTTAAAAATATAAGTAATTAAAAAAATAAAGTTGAAGATTATAAAGGACAGAAAAATAAATAAGGTAAATATTACAAAGGCAAATAAATAAAGAAGCTAATTAAGAGTTATATACATTTATGTCTCACTTTTTTGTTGGCAATTAATTGTATGCTTATACATTTATTGAGCATTTATTTATTTCTGTATTTATTTTTAAATATGGCAGAGTATTTATTGAGCATTTATTTATTTCTGTATTTATTTTTAAATATGGCAGAGTTAGTCTTTCATAGATAAGAACAACAGCAACAATAATAATAATAATCACCATCATCATAATGTGAGATTATATGTGTTTGGAAAGGATTTTGATTGTATTGATTCCCTGATTTAGATTAATGTAAGATTGATAGAAGAAGAGAGGAAGAAGATTGAATGAGAGCGAAGGAAAATATGAACACTAATAGAACAGTTAAAAGGAAGGAAGAAAAATCTGCTTAGAAGAGTTAAACAGAGCGAAGGCAGAAGTCAGCTAGAAAGAAAGGAAAATGGAGAGGGAAGAAGACAGAGAAGATTGAATGACTACTGTAAATGGCATTAATAAACACTATTGATTGATTTATTTGATTAGTCCTAGGGAATACGAGGGGCAAGTTCCTGGATTTTACACTTCTTTTTTGTTTTTTAAATATTAATTAAAGCTACAGTGTGTAATTTTTAGCGACATCTAACGTCCAGACTGCAGACCGCAGCAACATGAACATCTCCCCCCCACCGCTTCTCCCCCTAACAGTACGGCGAGCGTTACGGGACAAAATGTCTTCCATGACGTCCCCATCACCTACCTTTTCAAGTGATGAGGTTTGTTTACATAAATAATTTTACAGATAGTATTCTCAGGCATAATACTGCCGTTCAGTACCGTCTCAGTTCATCTCTCTCAACTTGCCGTAGTTACTTTCGAGCGTAATGGGCGATCTCGCAATCGCTAGTTTGTTGGCTCTGCGCTGCCGTAGCGCAAAGATGTCTGCCTCCATGGCTGCGAGACCCGCTCCTATGTAATTATAAATAACGAATTCTAAGGCAACGCAAATATTAAGGTTAATAGGCTGAGCTTGTAGATGATGATAAAATAACATAGTTATGTATAATATATTACATTTCTGACTGTATATCCCTGTAATTATTATACACTGTAGCTTTAATATGTAAAAATGAATGAAAGCATCACCGTCTCTGTTTGCTATTTTAATTTTGATCATATGAATTTCTTTTTATCTATGAAATGTCCCCAGATTGGATTTTAGAAATCTGGTCACCATGAAAAAATTAGGTTTAGGTATAAATCCTGTGAAGTAAGGTAAGATTGGAAAGGAGAATCATCAACTGCACTTGGATTAAAGATATATAATGGGTCACAGAATATGTTGTAATACCAGATACTTGGTCACCAAAGAAAAAGACAAGCTATAAAAATTGGTTGAAAAGACAACATGACTTACGTCCAAACAATGTCTACATTTGGTTGAAAAGGGAGGGGTGAAACGCTGTAATTTTCAGATCTTCACAACGTCTATTGTCGGACTAAAGTGGGACAAAATCAGACCAACCAATCACAGCCCAATTTTCAACAACTATGTCTGTACTAAATCAAGACTATGAAGGACCAACCAGATTAAGCCTAAAAACAAACGTCTAAATGTCATCTGGTGTTTGGAGGGTGCAGCCATAGCCTAAGGTCACCTGATGAACACTATTAGGTGGGCTCTATGACACAGGAGATCTTTAGGCTGCAGCCACACTTGTCTCAAAGTTTGAATGAAATCTGCCTTTTCTTCCTGGATTACAATCTTGATATGTCCTATAGTGTTATATGTGGCACACACTGGCAGAAGTGTATTTAAGTTTCTCCTGAATTTGTCACTGTCAGGATTTGGTTATTGAGTGTTGACCCAAAAGCAGAGGCAGAGAGGCAGAGGTGAATCTGTTGTGGATTTAATAATGACTTAACAGAAAACAGAGGCTGGTTATCCAAAAATCCAAAAGGAAAACAAAGTCCAAACAAACATGAAACCAGAAGTCCAAAAAACCTAAAATCAAAAACATGAAAACAAGTCTAACATACCAGAAACCATGGGGACATCAGGGGAATCACAAACATAACGAGGAAAGCACAGAGAGAAGGAGTTGGAGCATGTAGACGGTGTTTGACGAGGACCCAGCAAAGGGGAACTGAACAGAGAGGGCTTTTTAAAGGAGACTGGGACAACGAGGGGGCTAATGAGGAAACTGGGAGCAGGTGTGCAAAGAACTAGAGAGGGAAAGAGCTAGGGAAGAAGGAGAACATAAGAGGGCAGCAGAGAGCAACAAATAGAAACCTGGAAGACTGGAAATAACATCAAAATGATAATCAAATAACCAGGACTATAAAACATGGTGAAAAGAAAACTAAACACTAGATATCAAGGAGTAAAGTAAGACTGAATACTCAAAAGAAAAACATAACAGAAACAGAAACCAACAGTCGCTTTGTACTACTTTTGTCAAAGTTCATCCTGTCCCAGACATGGGCAATGTGGAGTCAACAAGTCAACTCCATGTCATGTATTTGTTCTACCCAGCCACTGAAGCAGGTGAGTCCAATCTTCACCATGAATTAACCTGTGCAGATTGGACTCACCTGGTTAATTGGCTGGGTAGATTAAATAGATGACATGGAGATGACTTGTTGACTCCACATTGCCCATGTCTGTCCTGTCCTAAGAAAGGTTAGCAGTGTTTAAGCAGAATGAAATATGGGTATTCAACACCAATCAAAGACAAAAAGGCACAAATACTATTTTTGATTTCTCATTTCATACATGAGGAGGTTCAACTGTGACCACAAAAAACGCAGAGCCAGAGACTGGCGACACCTTTTAATGACAACCTGAAGGCCCTTTATAAATCTCAGCTTTTATTAAAATCTGTTTATTTTATCACATAATTTAAAAGGCAGATTTAATTGTCTAAAATGAAATAACTATTCACTTGTGCATTACCTTATCCCAATTGTATATTTAATTATGTAGCAATGATTTAGATAAATCAATTATACATACCAGCAGTAAATATTCAATGGTTTCAGAATATGTACACTGTGTAAACACACTCTTTAACCCTTTAAAGCCCGATCCAAGAATAAAACAAAACAGAAAATAGCTTTTTTTTGGTTTGAAGTCCTTATTTGGCCTTTTAACAAAATATGTAAAAAGAAAAAAACAGAAATAAATTTTTGATATTAATAATTTATTACTATGCAATAAGTCAAGTCTTCTGCCTTCTGTTATCAGGTATATCTGATTGTGTACAATACGATTTAGTTGTTTTTACCATTAAATTATGCAAAAGGTGTCAGACGCAAAACATTTCAGAAACCGTATGTATCAAATATGATACATTTGGCATTACAGGGTTAAATTTCAGTTTCAGCCATGCTATATACTTCTGATTTGTTTTTCCATTTGAAACGTAGTGTGTAGGTGTTATATAATGTAAGTTATTCACTCAGCCTATTTGATTATGCTTGTAATAAAATCTGAAAAATGTTTTCTTTACATGTTTGTCTTTTACGAGCTGGTGCACCACCATAAATGTGCTAATTTCTTTTTTCTGAAATCCCATAATTGATCAGATGAGCAGCAGCAGAAGCAGCATCTACCCTTTAGACACTGAAGTCCAAGGAAGCATTCAGTTTGCTGTAAACTACATCCAGAAGCTTGAAGAGTTTCAGGTCTTTGTGGTCAACTGCAGAGGGTTGGCCATTGCTGAAACCAAGAAGAATCTTTCTGACCCGTAAGTTTTCGGAGCAAAGTTTTATTTTCAATGTGTTCCAAAAAAAACACTTCAATATCTAATGACATATTCCTTCAGATCTTTAGTGCTTTGTGTAATACTATAATAAATCTTTTATTATAAATCTATAAATCTTTGCAGCTATGTGAAATGCTACCTTGCTCCTGATAAAACACGACTGGGCAAGAAAAAAACTACTGTCAAAAAAAGGACACTAAACCCGACATACAACGAAGTTCTCAAGGTGAGAAATGTATTTACATCTATCTTTTTGAATGTGCATTTCACATATGCTTTATATCACCTAAACACCTGGTCTATTTGCAGTAGAATGTAATGATTTAATTCAATGGTGGATGTCACTTAATTTTTATAAGCTCCACCAAGGAAGTCATGTTTTTATGAGAGTTTGTGTGTATCTCTGTCTGTGTACAGGATAACATGAAAAGTTATTTTCCTCTGAGATGTCCCTCATGCCAAGGAACAATCTATAAATGTTTGGTGATGTTCAAGATCATAATCTGGCCACAGGGATTTAAAAAAAAGACTCTCATAACATTGTAAGATAGTTATATTTGGCTGAACAAGCAGTTCCCTACTAAACCAGAGGGGGGCAGCAGTGACTATTGACATTGGGCTGAAAAAAAATTGAAGGTATTTTAGGGAAGACAAAAACACAGGAAAAGGGAGCGTTGTTGGTTTGTTAGCAGGATTAATTGTAAACTTAGGAACTTAGAGCTCCACCTCAAGCCAAGGAACAATTCATTTAACTCTGGTAACATACCTGTAAAGATTCATGAAGGTCATGATCAAGCTTGAAAAGTTCAGTTTAGTTACTAATCTGGTCTTATAGCGGATGCTGCAGGAGGGGGGGCAGGGCCCCGCCCAATCACAGACACGTTGTAGGAGAAACACGGGTAAGTGACCACGATCATCTGACTGAGGATGATGAGCTCATTGAGTCACTTACCTGGTTTAACAGTTCAGTCCATCACCCTTAAAGGGGGTGCGATCCAGCTCAAAGGGCTCAGCAGGAGAGGAACAGTGGACGATCAGGAGACGAGACAGACACAAAACCCTCTTTCCACTGGCTGCTAGGATTCCAGGACTTGAAATTGAAGGACATTGAAATAAACAGAACTGAACAGAAATGAGTAACGGGAAACAAATAATGATCTGGCCCCGAATGCTCAGGCTGAACAGAATATAAACCAAAGGAAACAGGTGAGAGGAATAAATGATAATTGAGATAGGGAGGGAAAACGACAGGTGAAACAAATAACCAATTAAGGGAGAGCAAACAGGCCAGATCATGACATTGGAGCTCAGAGCCAATGCCCGAGGCAGCCTCGATTCCAACCCAAACTGCTCTGTCACACCCCCAGCACACCTCAGCACTATCCTACATTTTTCACACATGTCCTGTACCACTCTAACAACTCCCCTGCCTTTCCAAACTTTCTCATACAATACCACAGCTCCTCTCTCGACACCCTGTCTCTTGTTCAAACACAACAACCCAGTCTCATGGGAAAATGTACCCCCACTACGTTGGTCCACACTGCAAAACGTAGTGGAGGTACATTAATGGCCATTTTTTTGTGGTACTGTTACGTTTCTTCTGCCTATACGCTTTCTATTGTTTTACGTCCTAGTCACGTGACTTTCAAGATTCCAGCTGGGAGAAGAAAAAAATATATATATAGATGGCCGACATTCGCTCATTTTTTTGTGGAAAGATTAATAACTTGAGTTTGTTTTTGCATTAAAATGAGTTTTGATTACATTTCTAGTGAGAAATGTATAGTTTGTTGCCAGAATATTTACTCAGGGAATGTAAATATTCACTTGCTTGTTCGTTTCTTGCAAAGATTTTTCAAGATAATGTGAAACTGTAACATTTTGGTATAAACATGGCTGAGATTTCTCTAACTTTTAGTGGGAAAATCAATAATTTCAATCAGTTTCTGCATTTAAATGGGTTTTGATTACATTTATAGCGAGAAGTGTAGGGTTTATTTACATAATATTTACTTAGTGAACATACATAATCACCCGCTTGCTAGTTTTTGCTACGGTTTTCGGATCTCGTCAGGATTATGTGAAATTGCAACGTTTTGGCTGCTACCCATCGCCTAGCATTTAGCTGCCGCCCCGATTCAACATTGAATTCTTTGTGATTTAACTCCATCTGACGGATCAAACCCTCGCCACTGCGTGCGTTGCGTCTGAGGTTGATTTTCAGATCAATGCATTACGTTGTGGCATACGGGAGAAACTAATTAAATTAGTTAAAAAAAGGATCATGGGTTAAGATGGATGTGTTTTATTTGGAAATCTACCGGATCCTTTGTGCAATTAACTTCCTGTTTGGTGCGATCTCATTGATGGGTTTTGACCAGATTTTGACCAAAGAGGAACTAAAAAAAATAAAAAACAATTTGAATACACAACCAGCATATCTGGAATCAATGACAGAGAGCGACTGGGACCAGAAGTTTATTAATTTCTCCCCACTGATTTCCATTCAAAATGTTTTCGCTCCCACCGGGCTCTAGGGGCGGGCATACCGCCACCTACTGTTCATGAGTGTGTAGCAACATTGTTTTACATCTATTAAATTCTATTTTTTAATTTTGTATTCTGAAGATAAATAAATAATGCTTTCCTTAATCTATAAATATCTTTTATATTTCCTTTATTTCCCAATAATCCTTTAAGACTCCATTCTTGGCCTGTCCTTTCAACTCTTTTCAATTTCTTCCTTTCAGATCCAGATGTTTTACATTTCCTCAATACGTGTTCTATATTTTCTATCTCTCCACATCCTTCACATTTATCATTATTTTTCCTCCCTATTAAGTATAAATTGTCATTTAAATAAGTATGACCTACTCTTAATCTGATCATTATTATTTCTTCCCTTCGGTTTCTCTCATTAATATTTCTATTTAATACTGACTTTTGTACTTTATATAACCTTCTTCCTTTTTATCTTCATTCCACCTTTTTTTTTTTGCCATTTTTCAATTTCTTTCCTCTTAATAAATGATTTTCCTTCCCCTTTCCCTAAAGGAATTGTAATTATTATTTGTCTACTTTTCATTCCACCTAACTTTCCATTAATTAGCTTGAAAACAGCACTTTGTAGGCACCCAGTTTCTCTAACAATGGCCCTTTTTGGGTTACCCTCCATGCATTGGGTGTCAGTTCAGTGGCAGTTCCAGAACATTTTCTTAGGGTTGACCAGGCAGTACAATAATGTGCATGTGGCCAAAAAGTAATAGGGATCAAATTCGGTTCAGAGTCAAGCTATTGGGATCAGGTATCAGGTTCAATTTGCATATTTTCTTAGCCAAAACAAGGATTTGTTGGGCTACTGTAATTTTGAATTGAAAAACGTCCTGAATGGGAAGTCTTCAAACTTGAAAAACAAAGTCCAAAGTTTTTTTTTTTTTTTTTTGGGAATGATTATGACCTGGATGTCTAAGAATCTTCACCAGCTTATCAGGGAAATGAATGCCCACAATGTCTATATTCTCCAAAAGAGAATAACAGAACAGACCTTCATGAGGCTTTGTTAAAGCTATGCATATATTTATGCATATGCTCTTCAAATAACTTTCTGGTTCGACGCAACATTTACATTAAATGGGTTGAGAGGTTGTTCTTTACCAGTAAATACATAAAAGATTCCCAGATGACTGCCGATACAAACTCTCCCCTATAAAACCTAAAACTAATTCTTATAAGAGAGTAAAATCTGTATTAGTCTTCATTAAATGTAGCATATTGTTGTAAATAATCGATTGCTTTATTTTTGGTGTCAGCTTTTGGTCAATATGCTAACCTTAAAAGGTCAAAGTGGGAAAATGTAGTAGTAGTAGACAAATTAGCAATTAGAGGAGGCAATAACAATTACAATTCCTTTAGGGAAAGGGGAAGGAAAATAATTTATTAAGAGGAAAGAAATTGAAAAATGGCAAAAAAAAGGTGGAATGAAGATAAAAAATGAAGAAGGTTATATAAAGTACAAAAGTCAGTATTAAATAGAAATATTAATGAGAGAAACCAAAGGGAAGAAATAATAATGATCAGATTAAAAGTAGGTCATACTTATTTAAATGACAATTTATACTTAATAGGGAGGAAAAATAATGATAAATGTGAAGGATGTGGAGAGATAGAAAATGTATAACACGTATTGATGAACTGTAAAACATCTGGACCTGAAAGGAAGAAATTGAAAAGAGTTGAAAGGACGGGCCAAGAATGGAATCTTAAAGGATTATTGGGAAATAAAGGAAATATAAAAGATATTTATAGATTAAGGAAAGCATTATTTATTTATCTTCAGAATACAAAATTAAAAAATAGAATTTAATAGATGTAAAACAATGTTGCTACACACTTATGAACAATAGGTGGCGGTATGCCCGCCCCTAGAGCCCGGTGGGATCGAAAACATTTTGAATGGAAATCAGTGGGGAGAAATTAATAAACTTCTGGTCCCAGTCGCTCTCTGTCACTGATTCCAGATATGCTGGTTGTGTATTCAAATTGTTTTTTGTTTTTTTTAGTTCCTCTTTGGTCAAAATCTGGTCAAAAATCCATCAATGAGATCGCACCAAACAGGAAGTTAATTGCACAAAGGATCCGGTAGATTTCCAAATAAAACACATCCGATCTTAACCCATGATCCTTTTTTTAAACTAGTTTAATTAGTTTCTCCCGTATGCCACGACGTAATGCATTGATCTGAAAATCAACCTCAGACGCAACGCACGCAGTGGCGAGGGTTTGATCCGTCAGATGGAGTTAAATCACAAAGAATTCAATGTTGAATCGGGGCGGCAGCTAAATGCTAGGCGATGGGTAGCAGCCAAAACGTTGCAATTTCACATAATCCTGACGAGATCCGAAAAACCGTAGCAAAAACTAGCAAGCGGGTGATTATGTATGTTCACGAAGTAAATATTATGTAAATAAACCCTACACTTCTCGCTATAAATGTAATCAAAACCCATTTAAATGCAGAAACTGATTGAAATTTTTGATTTTCCCACTAAAAGTTAGAGAAATCTCAGCCATGTTTATACCAAAATGTTACAGTTTCACATTATCTTGAAAAATCTTTGCAAGAAACGAACAAGCAAGTGAATATTTATATTCCCTGAGTAAATATTCTGGCAACAAACTATACATTTCTCACTAGAAATGTAATCAAAACTCATTTTAATGCAAAAACAAACTCAAGTCATTAATCTTTCCACAAAAAAATGAGCGAATGTCGGCCATATATATGTTTTTTTTCTTCTCCCAGCTGGAATCTTGAAAGTCACGTGACTAGGACGTAAAACAATAGAAAGCGTATAGGCAGAAGAAACGTAACAGTACCACAAAAAAATGGCCATTAATGTACCTCCACTACGTTTTGCAGTGTGGACCAACGTAGTGGGGGTACATTTTCCCATGAGACTGGGTTGAACACAATCCAGTTGTCCACAAGGTCTGGTGTCCTGGATCTTTTAGCTGTCTCTGCCCCAACCACGGCTAATAATCAGGTCATTCGCAGGAACTTGAATGGATGCTGAGGAGGTAATTCAGTCACTTCATTGAGGTGTGGGAACAGAGACATACTTGAAATTTGCAGGACACTAATAGCCATCCCCATTTATTCTTTATAATGTAAAGATGACTTTGGTGAAAGGTTGGAACATGCTTACGAACTTGGTATTGTGCAAATCCATGTACTTGTTAGGTAGATATACACTTTTAGATTTTATTCACTTACCTAAACATATAGGTCATTTATTTTGTGCTTTTTCAGAATAAATTATTGTTCATTCTTTTATCACATGTATTTTGATTGTTGCCTCTACAAATAGTATGAAAATAGAATCATGTCGATAAATCTTAAAATGTAAGAAGCAATAATTAAAGTTATTTAGCCTTTGCAGCTTGGTAGCAAGCACTGTTAATGGTAGGAATGGATGTGGGCCATTTCATGCAATCCAGAACCACCAAAAAACTATTGTAATGTTTTTTGACTAACCAAAGAACAAGTTGATACAAAGTTTTGAGGGTCAGATCATAAGCTGAGTTTTGGGTGTCAAAAACGCTTAAACGCAGAAATTTGGATGATGGATCAAAATGTGCTCAAGTTGCTTTTGACACTTTAACTCTCTGGCTGCTCGACATTCTGTATTTTTTCCTGCTCTGTTCTGTAGCTTCAAGCTAGAGAGCACTTGGCTTTATTTACTTTATGAATTGGAAAAATAGTTTCGACATGTTTTTAAGTGAGAAAGTCCAGCTCCAAACATCATCTATTCATCAATTCATCAGGATTATGATCCCACTAAAATCTGCAGTTCTTGTTGGGAGCTCCAGACCTCCAGCATATTGCCAGAAGGCAGTGCTGGAAATCCAAGCTGAAAGCTGAAAGCGGTCAGCCTGTGAGGGATTTCCCGCTGCCGTTCGTAGAAGTGAATAGAAAACTAGTTTTTAAGGTTAGTGGTAAAAACTGCAAGAACCAGAATATAAAATGGAATATTTTTCATCTGCAGCTTTTACCATTTCTAGTTAATTTGGTATTTATAAACTGTTTCTCTACAGTTCATAAAAAAATGTTTTAGTGCAGCAATAATGATCAGAGCTGCTCTCTGTTCCTCCTACATAACATTCCAGTCTACCAGCTTTTTTTTTTACCTTTGGAGTTTTACTACCTTATTTTCATATGCAGAATGTCTGCAGAAAAGAACAACAGCTTGCATGTAGCGTCTATCTCTCCCTAAAAAAACTTGAATTGGTTGACGCTCCAGCATCCAGCGGCAAAAGTCCAAATAACTGAACTCCAGTGTCCAATGCTCAGATGCCAGAATGCTCTGATGTACCCCTTCAATATGCTTTCATTATGAACGCAGCTGTAGTCTGAAAGTTGTAAGCCAAGACGCCATGTCCTACTGAATAGCTTTGTTATTGTGAGTCTGTTTTGGGTTTTTTTTATTTATGGTCTAGTTGTACTACCAAAGCGTGATGTCTGATATTAACTCTTTTTGAAAACCTAAAACAAGCTCTACAGAGCGATTTTTTCTCTTCACTCTTGGAACAATGAATAGATGCCAGCCTAAAGAATATCATTTAGAACTCATACACACTGCCTATCATTGCAATTTAAATTGTTGCTTCAGCTTTTTCTCTGATCTATTGATTTTGTTCTCTTTCAATAGTTTAAAATCCCATTAGAGGAGCTGAAAAAGCAGACTTTGATCGTCTCAGTGTGGCACAATGACCTCTTTGGGCGGAACAGCTTCCTTGGTGATGTGGATTTGAATTTGTCTGAATGGGACTTTAAAAACGCAGAGATAAATGAATATAAATTAAAAGCCAAGGTAATTATTTCTGTCCACATACAGGTGAGTCGTAGCAGACATCACATCTCACTGAGCTGTATTACAATCTTCAGGTCTCCACGGAAGTAATCAGAGGGTCCCATTTTGGTCTGCAACAAAATGGTGGAAAGATGAGAGTAGCCTTGAGATTCATACCAAAGAAAATTAAAAGTAAGTTGTTATAAACGTTCAGCTGTTGTCCTCTACTTGTTTTTTGTTAATTTTGCTTAGTGTAAACTGGTTTCCTCCATAGGTAAGGGGATTTCAACCACAGAGGCTGGGGAACTTCTGATTTGGGTGAAAGACTGCAAGGATCTTCCTCAAGTCAGACGAGTCATAATCAACCCCTTCGTGAAGTGGTATGGAGGTTTTCTAGATTGTTGTGAAGCTGATTAGTAAGGCTCAGGGTTTTGGGATTTGGAACAAACCATTAGATGCTAAGGGTGGGAAAAAATGCATAATGTGATAAACACCTAATCACAATCAATAAAAAGATAGAATGATCAGTAATTTCATCTACCAGCAATCCAGAACCACTAAGGCTACGTTCACACCGCACTTTGAAGTGACCCAAATCCGATTTTTCTGCCCATATGCGACCTGGATCTTATCTTTCCATGGCTGTCTGAACAACACAGATCCGATTTTTTCCACTCCGACCAAGGCCACTTGGCTATGTGGTCCTGATTCCGATACGAATCTGATTTTTTCTAATGCGACCTTTGTCTGAACGACCAGGTCGCATTCATCTGACCTGAACGCCATTAATACCCGACAAAGGTCACTATTCTGCATCTTGCTACACAGTAGCGGCAAGAGAAACTACAACCATGGCAGATTATGATGCAGAGAGCAGTATTTATGTTTAACCATATTGAAAAGAATGAGTTCTTATGGTTGGAAAAGATGACTAGATGTGCGGCGGCACTACCATCTATGTTTACTTCCGCAAACACAGAGCACGCTAGCCTGTAACGGGACACTTGTATTGTATGACTGCAGTTCACACAGGAGATCACATACAAGTCGCATATATTTGGAAATATGAACGGCAATGCAAAAAAAAAAAATAGGACTTCGCAATAAAATCTGAATTGAGCAGCAAGGCCTGCAGTGTGAACGTAGCCTAAGTCTTCTGGGGCATGTAGAGGGAGAGAAAGATTTTGCTTCTCAACATCTCACGGCCTAGCCAAGTAAGGCTGGAGCTAAGGCTGCCCTCTTTTAGAGGTGAAGGTTATGTTTAAATGGGGTTACATTTTCAAGTATGTCCTTTCTTCTTTGGTCCTTTTTCAAAATGGGTATAAAAAAAAAGCCCAAATCAATTTTTACCAGAGTCAGGATTCCCTTGTGTGTGCGTTAGAGCTAATAATGCATCTCTTCCTGAGAGGATCTTGGTGGGGAACCTGGGTAGCCTACACAGGTGGAGCTTATCAGTTTCATCAGAGTATTGGGATTGTCTAAACCTGAAAACAGGGAAACTCTGACTATTCCGGTTTACAAAGAGAGTTTCTTCAATCTCTGTTTCAGTCACAGTAGTAACCTTCTCCCCAGAGCTAACCTGGTCAGAAGCACGTTTTCTTCAGTAGTCATGCATAAAAACAAAATCATTCACCTGGTCCTTTAGACACATTGGTTTAAAAAAAAACATTGCATATCTGTTTGATCAGGATCTAATTAAAGACAGAGATTCATTGTTTTTGGTTAATTTAATATGAGTAAGCTGCGGATCATTTTATTTTTATTTAGTTATATTTACTGTGCAGGAAGAACTACTGAGGTTATTTTCAGATTACACATAAATAGATTTATTAATTCCATGGGGGAAAAGGAATTACTTTAGGGTTAGGATGATAACAACCGATGCTAACAACCTACTGAGTCTACTGGCATAATCTGGGATGATAACATCCGAAACTGCAAACAGCCACTTAGTATTTAGTGTGTAAAAGAAGACTGAATCAACATGAAGAGGAACCCATGAGATGATGAACAGGTTCTATACATTAGAACAACATTTTTATTCTTTTTCCTCACCTACTGCCAGAAGATTTCGCATAAATAGATACATTGATCTACTACCATTCAAGAAATAATCCCATAATATTTTCACGGTAACAACACCTGGCAAGCGCTTTTGATATGTACTAGTTTTACTGAATATGTATTACTGATATCTAAAAAAAAAACATTTTTTTTTGTCTAAATGATGATTCCATACTTCTCCTTACTGGTCAATATTTGTATTATTTTAACTATGAAAAAATGTTGTTCAGATATAAATACATTTTAGGTCAAGCTGATAAATGTGAAAACGGACGATTAAAATAATGAAACATTTCTAGATATATAAAACTTAATTCTTACTAGTATCTTTTTTTTTACTTTCTAAAATTCATTTTCCTCGACAAAAATCTAATTTAGAAAATATATTATTAATTGGCCTGCCATAGACCGTTTTATATAAACTTATGCATTAACTCGAGCAACAATGTTCTATTTCACCACCTTCCTTTCCTTTGTTCTTTTTTTTCTGTCTTTTAGACACATTCTCCTTTTTATATTTTTTGCATTTCTACATTAAAATCTCTAGTTCTAATGGCACTTCCTATGGCCTGTTGTTGTCGTCATGGTGACTCGTCAAATCGGTACTCCACTGATAATGGCTTTTCATACTTGTTGCGCTCGTCCACTCTGAGTGGACCTAAATAAAATTGATTGAACTAATTGATAGCAGCTGTTGTGAAACCAAATGGTGAATGGCCTTGCACTTATATAGCACTGTTTATCAAGTCAGGAGAGATGACCAAAGCGCATTACACTACATTCAGTAATTCACCCATTCACTCACACACTGATGGTGGCAAGCGACATTGTAGCCACAGCTGCCCTGGGGCTCACTGACAGAAGCGAGGCTGCCGTACACTGGCGCCACCGGGCCCTCTGACCACCATCAGTAGACAATGCAGGAGTGTGTGAAGTGAAGTGTCTTGCCCAAGGACACAACGACACTGAAAGTTTTGAACCGTCAATCCTTCGATTTCAGGGCAAATTCGCACATCCGACGCCACTGTCGCCCCACACTCAGAGTTCCCGTCTTTAGACGAGATCAATTTAGAGTTGCGAATTTGAATCTGAATTTGTTAAACCTGCTTTAGTTCTGGTTTCCTGTTTTTGTTTTGTTGCTCTGTTGTTTCCTGGCTCCTCATGTGTGTTTACAGACTATCAATTAAATCAGCAAAACTCATCTCTGCCTCCTCATCTTTGCATTTGGGTCCTGAAAACCTCCACCCAATCTTACAACCAGTATCAACTAAAATGAAATATTATTTTGTGATACATTTTTGATACAGTACAGGCCATTTTTAGCCATATTGCACAGCTCTACTTGGAACTACAAAAGGGAAAACTGCAGACATAACTGGTTTGGGTTCATACAGAAATTACATATTTAGTGATAATTTCGGTTTTATTCAGCATATTATTGCTCTGGTTTGTAATAAAACTAACAAACAAGGCAACCCAAACAGGATAAGTTTGTTAATTGTAATACAAAACTAGTCTCAGGTTAATTCATACCTCAGCTGGGAGCAATCTTGCCTTAAGTAAATTTAGTACTTCATCTCAGTTATTTGGAAAAAAAATAGTATTATAAGAAGGGTTTTGTAGATATTGCTAATATGGATATAATTTTTTTTGTTAACTTATTTCTTGCTGTGCCACTGGTTTCCTCTAATTTTAAGACTTTCATTGCTTTGATCTTACTGCAGCACTGTACTTCCTGACACAAGTCGAAAAAGCCAGCAGAAGACCCGGGTCGTAAAGAGAACAGCCAACCCTCTGTTCAACCACACCATGGTGTACGATGGCTTCCAATCAGAGGACCTTCGACAGGCCTGTGTGGAAATCACAGTGTGGGATCGCGATCGGCTTCACAACCACTTCATAGGTGGTGTGAGACTTGGACCTGGGACAGGTTGTGTAATGCGTTTGTACTTTTTTTTTATGTTGTAAAAAATCCTGACACCTATTATGATTGGGTCACATTATAGCACTTGTTCATATTTAGTTATCTGCATAAAATACAGAATACTATATGTTATTTATTTGACTGCACTTGTTCCAACAACTTGCCTGTTTTACATGTGGTTTTAAGATTGAACAATTAGATCTTTAATTGAATATATTTTTACCATAAAATATTGATACATAAAGTCTTTAAGTGTACATTACAGTTTTAATCAATATTATAACTATTTGCCATGAATGCATAGGGTTTACAACAGCAAAATACAACTTTATTAGATGTATTGACCAGTTATTTTTTCAAACATAAATAGATAAATACATTCATACAACATAATATTATTTTGAACAAAGGCTGTATTCATCAGTATCATATAGGAGGTCTTACAGAGGTCATTTGTGAAAGAATCAATCAGAAAATAGTGAGGAAAGGGGAAAATTATCTTGTACAAAAAAGTAAGGTAATCTCTCTGCAGTTTCTAGAAGAAGATATAAACACACATAGCTCACACTGCGGGCCTTAGTGCTCAATTCCGATTTTTTTTTGTGAAATCCCATTTTTCTGTGTTGTTGTTCACATTTCCAAATCTATGCAACTTGTACGTATCTCCTCCTTTGGATGTGGGTCAAAGCTCAAGATGAACAAAACATACTTTTTTGTTGATAAAAGCTTGTTTTATCTTTTAGTCGGGTCCTCACAAAGCAGAACCGATTACAGCCTTATTTAATTTTAATACCTGAGAAATAAAATATTTTAATGTACCCCTATAATAATATTTTTATGTTCACCTTGCACTCATTCTTGGACCACTAGGGGTACGAGTACCTCCTGCTAATAATCAATGTACTACCTGACACAGAACACACAATAAGGCTGAAACACGGCCCGACACAAAAAATTCTCACAAGATTGGAGAATTGACTCTCACAATTTATGCCTGACTTTTACTGTACCATTTCTATAGCCTAAAGGCCCTGTCACACCTTGACGATTTCGACCAGCGTATGCCTGATGTACAAAAAATCTGGCAAAAACCCCGCCATACATTGGATAAGTTATGGGTCAGTTTTGTGTAAGTTAAGATTGCGCTGAAGTACGCTGAAAGACGTTGACATACTGCATACTCAAAATTTCTCGACGTGTGACAGCGTATGCCATACATGTGCCATAAGTTACAGGTAAGTTATCATATTGCTGACTAACGTTAAGTGTAAGTTACTCATAAGTCGTGGTGTCCAGCTTATGCGTAACTTATCAACAGTGATGGGACTAACGGCGTTGAAAGTAACGGCGTTACTAACGCCGTTACCTTGTTTTAGTAACGAGTAATCTAACTAATTACTTTGACTGTAACTATAACGCAGTTACCATTGCAGGCACCCCGTTACTGCGCGTTACTCAGGTCGCACAATGAGCCTTTTTTCATGATAGGACTCGTGCGCCGCTGCGTGAAGCTGACACCCCACCCACGTCAAAAAACTCTGCAAATAGACTGAATGGTTAGTGCAACATTAGTGCAGATTTGTGCAGAAAAAAATATTGTTTGTGCTACTTTTGTTTAAGAGATATTAAAGATTTATTTTAGGTCATCAAGAGGTGCGCGCCTTGTCATGAGAGAGGGGAGGATGAGAATCCATCTGTCAGTTGAATAGGTGGGTGTTTCTGCTGGTGGGTGTTAACGTACAGCACACACAGAGAGATGGAGAGTGAGGATGACTCCAGCAGCAAAACAGCGTTTTCCACATGGAAATACCGGTGTTACGTAGAGCTGCGTTTCCCCATCACATAACGGTTTCCTCTGCATCTCCACACAGCGCAGGCGGCAAGAGTCACCGCGCAAGCGACAGGAAACGCGCATGCTCGCTAAAGGCGCGCAACAGTCGCCCTGTGCTCGCGCCACAGGAGAACTATGGAGAGCGGGAACGATCAAATGAACCTGACAACAGCCAGAAATGATAGCCTATATGGAGAAAGGGAGAAATCTGGATGGATGGATGGATGGATGGATGGATGGATGGATGGATGGATGGATGGATGGATGGATGGATGGATGGATGGATGGATGGATGGATGGATGGATGGATACTCTGCCTTCTCAACCTACTGTTTTTTTTTATTTTAAACATTATTTGATGGCCTTTGTGGCAGGGATGGAGATCCATATTTTATGTCACACACAGAGTATACATCTAGATAGATAGATGGATAGATAGATGTTGCAGTATCTATAACAACCCAAACACACAGGATTTCAGAATTAGACATCCCCAGTTATTAATTTCATATACTCACCGGATCTGAATGTCCTGTTATAAACCTTCACATGGCGTTCCCCCCTGATGTCATTTACGTTGAGTTGCAATAAATGCTAAACTGTCTGCAGGTTCTTGTCTTTGTCTTCCGCTCTATTCAGCTGGCTTTGGAAACACACGGCGAGAAGGTGGGGGCCGGGTGGTGAGGTTTACGGGGGCGAGAAATGCAAAAGTAATGCAATAGTTACTTTTACTAGTAACTAGTTACTTTTATTGTGGAGTAACTCAGTTAGTAACTCAGTTACTTTTTGGGAGAAGTAACTAGTAACTATAACTAATTACTTTTTCAAAGTAACGTGCCCAACACTGCTTATCAAGAACTTCTCTGGAATGCATATCAACGTATCTGACGTGTTCCAGACGAGCGCTGAACTCGTTTCTAACTTCCAGCTACTGTATAATGGTGTCTTTGCAGCGTTTTGGTATAAAGGGGGTTCACAGGAGGAAACCGTCAGTTCTCCTCCAGACTTCAGGCCGGGTACCTCTTGGTGCCTCCTGCACCTGAGGGGGGCAGTTTTACAGATGCTTTGTAATGCCCATGGGCATTACACTGTCGTTATGCAAAAGTTAGGCTGTCGTTTCACAGTAGTTCCTAACTATTATGGGTTCATACCTAACCATGACCTAAACTCAATTCAGACCTTAGCCCTAAATGTGCCCCACCAGGCAGCAGTTGCTCCCACCACAAAGTTTTAAATTCAAAACACACACATAAAAAACAAACAAAACAAAACAGATTGCCAATGTTTGTTAATATTCTGTCCGATTAGCTAATCTGTTGAAATTCATTTCCCCTCTGCCTGATTACTAATTCAGTCCACATGGTGCAGCTTAAGCTACATCCTGACTAGCTGAAAGTGCTAGTTTATTGAAACCTTTTGGCCCGTAGATATCCAGCGTTCTGATTCTCTGAGCCTGCCTAAACCCTATCAGACCTATCATGGGGAAGTTTTAGATCTCTGACGTGTTTTTTTTTTTTTTTTCTGCAGGAAAGAGTTATGGTGTTGATGTTGCATGGATGGATTCAACAACGACCGAAGTCAATCTGTGGAACAAGATGCTACATTCAAATGGAGAATGGGTGGAAGATGTTTTGCCCCTGAGAATGCTGGTGATGGCAAAGGGCCTGTAAACCTGATTTAGTACAATGTAGGGGTGCAAAAGCTAATGATGTAATGTGTGCTATATAAAAAAACTATAATGGATTAACTCAGGACAGAACAAAATCAATCCCATAAAAAAGAGTCTCAATGAAATATCAGAGCTGAATGTCAGCTTGATTGAATGACATATTAAGAATAGATTCCTTTAAGCAAAGTTAACCACCGTTTGAAATGCTCCAGGATATGTTTCTATTCATCAGGGACATTTGTACATTTTCAGATATCTCATGTCAGTTTTTCAATATAAAAGATTCCTACAATCTCACTTAGCAAGTTCTGGAACTTAGGTGAGTTGCATGACTACCAATAAAACCCATCGGATTTCTTACACTTTTTTCATAAATGGGAAATTTATTAGTAGCTCTTATATTGATTTGACCTTTAGGCAGTGTTATCTATGTCTGACCTTAAATTAAAATATTTGTTTTCTAGCATTAATTTAACATTAATAAATGTTATTTAAAGCTTGCTTCCATGTTTTGTCTTGATTCTAAATACTTATTAATTTACATATTTTGAAAAGGTACCTTAATTCCACCTGATTAAAACATCTTTTCAGTGTCTAAACGTACAATGACTTACCTTTTAATCGGAATGAAATTTATAATAGAATTTTTCTGACTTGGCTCTAGGTTGTGGAAGACACTTTTTCTCCCTGAAGTCTCCTATTTAACAGGATGATTGCACAGGGTATTAAATTGGTATTTAAATTAATATGTATTATATTATTAGCTATTTATGTATATAGTTAGTATCGGGAAGGCATTCAGACGATCACAGACTACAACACACCCACCCCCGCGGTAGATGCAGCAAAACACTGACTTCCTAAATAAACTGAACAACTTCTTTGGAAGGTTTGAGGCACTAAACAGCAATCCGGCAGTGAAAGCCGTTCCACACCAGGGGGAGCAGGCACTAAACCTGGTCGTAGCTGAAGTGAGGAAAACTCTAAGGAGAGTCAACCCAAGGAAGGCCCCAGGGCCTGATAACCTTTTATTTTTTACATTTTTAACACCTCACTGGACCAATATGTAGTGCCAGCATGCTTCAAGTCTGCCACCAGGCAGCCTCAGGTCACCTCATTCAATCATTACCAGCCTGTCGCACTGACTCCACTCATGATGAAGAGCTTCGAAAGGCTGGTTAAAGAAAACATAGTATCCAGTCTGCCACCAACATTCGACCCATTCCAGTTCGCCTACCGACGTATGTGCTCCACTGAGGACGCCATCTCCTCTGTTCCCCACCTGTGCCTGGCACACCTGGAGGAGAAGAACACCCATTTGCGGATGCTGTTCCTGGACTTCAGTTCAGCTTTTAACACCATCATCCCACAGCATCTGATGGGCAAACTGGAACAGCTGGGCTTCAATAGACCACTCTGCAATTGACTGCTAGACTTCCTCACCAACAGACCTCAGTCAGTCCAGGTCCGAGAGAACACCTCTAATTTCATCATCCTAAGCACAGGCTCCCATCAGGGCTGCGTCCTGAGCCCCCTGCTGTTCACCCTGATGACACATGACTGCGTCCCCAGGTTCACCACCAATCACATCGTGAAGTTAGCAGACAACACCCAGGTGGTGGGCCTTATCAGAGATGACAAAGACCTGGACTACAGAGAGGAGGTGGAGCAGCTGGTGGACTGGTGCAAAGATAACAGCCTGATCCTGAACTTGGAGAAGATGAAGGAGATCATCTTGAACTTCAGAAAGAACCGGCCTAACCGGTCAACAACACCAAATTCCTGGGGGTGCACATCACAGACACCCTCAACTGGAATGTAAACAACACTTCACTGGTCAAAAGGGCAGAAAAGCGCATGTACTTCTTGGGGACGATAAGGAGAGCCCACCTGCCCCCACCCATCCTCTCCACCTTCTACAGAAGCACCATAGAGAGCGTTCTGACCAGCTCTCAAACTGTATGGTGTGGAGGCTGCAGCGCCTCAGACTGGAAGAAGGTGAGAAGAGTGGTGAGAACAGCAGAGAAGATCATCTGGGCTCCTCTTCCCTCAATTAAAGATATTTCATCCCAGTGCTGCATGTCCCAAGCCCGTTATATCAAAAATGACCCCTCACACCCCCACCATGGATTATTTTCCCTGCTGCCCTCTGGAAATAGACTTTGAAGCATTTATTAATTCCCACGTAAAGCATACTATTAAAAGAAGGAAGTGAAATGTTAAATATTGTCTTGACATTTAATTTATTGAGTCCCGTTTTTATATATTTTTTAGAGTGTAAAACAGTCTTGGTGCATGAATTATAAACAGGTTACCAACAATTTTTTTTATTTAAATAGTGTCATAACGTTTTTAAGAGATCTGACCCACATGCAGAAAGCCACTCAGAGAAAACCAGAGTAAAACTTAAACAGGTTTATTGAGGAGTTTAAATGGGTTGGATTCAGGGAAACTCAGAGATCTGGTGAACTGGAACTGGAAGTGGGAAGGGAAGTTCACAGAGGTTAGTTCAGGGTCCATGGGAACTTTGAACGATGTCTTGCAAAAACAGAGATAAACGGGACTCACGATTCTGGAGAAAGGTTTCTTCCCAGAATGCAGTCATTGTGGGTTTTTCCAGAGATAGAGGGGCTTGTTGGAGGGCAGACAGGTTTTGGTTGGGTTGGTTCCTGAGGAGCAATGGAGCAGGCTGCCACTTAGATTTCCTGGAGAACTTGAACCGGACGTGTGGAGATTATTCCTTTGCTCAGTGTGAAACTCAAACAATCCTTCCAGGGGGAGAAGGCCAAACATCCAGTATGCAGGATGACTTCCTGCCAAAAGGCAAAAGACAAAAATCATGTTAGAATCAGAGAAACAAAGACTCAGTTAGCCTCAGCTAAACTCAGCTTGGAGTAGTGACAGTCCACCGCTTAAGAAATCCTCAGTAATGAGCCAACCAGCCGCAGGTGTGTGGGAGAACCAACGAGAACAGGGCGCCACCTGGTGGTGGAGGGGGAAAACACAAAAACACAACCCACACAGACTGGATTCCTACAAACAGTGGCCTTGGAGCTTATTAATATCTACACACAACAAAAATATAAATTCAACTTTGGTTGCAAACTTGTGGTTATGCTCCCATTTTTTTAGGAGATGAACTCAAAGATCTAAAACTTTTTTCACATACACAATATAACCATTTCCCTCAAATATTGTTAACAAACCACACTAACACTATGATAGTGAGCACTTCTTCTTTGCTGAGATAATCCATCCCACCTCACAGTTGTGCCATATCAAGGGCTCTGTTCGAAATCCTGGGCTGCATCCTCCAAGGACGCGGTCTACCTAGACTGGATCCTTCGAAGTCCTTGAAAATAAGGAGACCAGAAGAGTTTTGGCTGTGAATTCAAACAGGTCTACCCTTTAGCAGGTTTTACCGCTGTATGCTCTGTTGCTTAGCAAACGTAAATGTTGACACACAAAACAGGAAAAGAATGAATACCGAAGTTTTCAAAACTGTTTGTTTATTTATGTATTTTTTTATTATAAAGTGAACAAAGACTACACTCACAAGAATCCAGAGTGGAATAAAGGTGCCAACCACCGGGAGCAGGAACAAATCAAATCAAATGTAATGATAGAAACCTTAGTCAGTTAAATAACCTGCTGCTGTCATTCTGCACATCTCTGATGTTGCTGCTATTTTCAAATATCCATTACTGTAAAAATGTCCATAGCTGCATATTGGTTATTTATTCTCCAGTTTTATATTGTTATAACACTTTACAGAATTGTATTTTTTGTATTTTAACTCTTCCCTATTATGTTATTCTTATACATTTTTCTAAGGTGCACATTTGTGTCACCATTTCAATAATCTTTCTGCTGCTGTAAATGTACCCATTGTGGGACAATAAAGGGATTTTCTATTCTATAAAAGGGTTAGAAATATATAAGTAAATCTAAACAATGTATGTATAAAAATATATGTGCAAAATCTCATTTGAATTGAGAAAGCTTCCTGGAGAGGTGGCGAAACGTCTTCAAATCTTCAAAACCAAGTCCAGTGGATATTTTTTGAATTTTTACGGAATGACTTTGACCTGGATGACTGAGAACCTTCATCAGCACAAAATCTCTAATATTCAACAACAAAACATACTTAGTGTCATGACCAGCAGGATTACTAGCCCAGATGCAGAACTCACAGACTCAGAGGCAGGATAAAAGTCCAATATTTTATTGGATGAACACAGGTTTCTACCTGGGAGGCAGAAAGGACAAGGCAGGTTAGGTTCAGGTTTACAGGTTTACAGGAAAACAGGTTTACAGGGTCAGAACAGGCAGGGTGGCACAGGCTTGCTTAACAAAAAACTGTTTAACAATCCGGCTCAGAGGGAAGCTCTCACCCAGCTTAAATAGGGAGAGCATAATCAGCAGATGGGAAACAGCTGCCTCAAATGAGCACCAGCTCTCAGGAGAGGATCCACGGCGCCCTCTGGTGGGCAAGCCTCTGGATCCCAACCGACAGCAGAAACCCTCAGGAAGGGATCCACGTCGCCCTCTGGAGGGCAAACCTCTGGATCCCAACACTTAGTTAAGCATATTGTGCAAAACAGCTATAAAAAAATTTAACTCCCATCAGATTTATAGTCCCCACACTGCAGATATATTAGAATCTGTCCTTAAATTACAGCCAAACCCATTTACACAATAACAGATAAAAACCTTTAGATAAACCAAACATTACCGCCACGTATCTGACTCAATAACCATTAAAACAACAATTTTCATTCATTTCAGACAGAACTATTCACAGACTTGTATTACCCCCGGTATATTAAACTGACCTTCCAATTTTCACCACTGTTCGGCGCCAAGTAACCTTTGCTCTGATCACAAAGCAGCCGGCTTGCCTTGTCTCGCAATTAATCCTGGGTGAAGCAGGGTTTCATGTACCACATAGCACCTCTTGAACAAAGTCAGGTTCTGACTTTGAGAACTTTACTCGGTTCACTGTGTACCATGTAGTTGGTACCATTAAAGTCACAAAAAACATAACTATGTGATGTTTTAGTGCTTCAGTTTCATAAATCATGTTTGGACTTTAATGTTTTTGTAATTATTTGATTCTTCAGCGTATTTAAACATGCAACACAACCTTATCTTCAGTGATGATTGATCCTGAATGCTGATCCTGAATGTATCGACACACAGTAACACAGCTTTAAACGTCTCAAGGGCCTGAATATTCTGATTTTCTGTATATTATCGATTCTATAAATGGACAATATGTCACAGTGCGTTGCAGTTAAATAAAAAAAAAAGTTTTGACCTAATATGGTATCAGCTACAGATTAGCTTCTGTAGCTGATACCACATTTGGGTGCTTTGCAGCCAAATCTGTTATTCTGTTTTTCTCTGTTTGACTAATACTTTTGGAGTCATGTAATTTTGCTTTGAGTGAAGATATTTTTTATATGCATCCTTTTTAGATGAACAGATT